TGTACGCGATGTGCGTTTCACACCGAGACCGACCGCTTCTGAACGCACTAAGTTTGACGCAATGCGTGAAGTATTCATGCAGTCTTGTAGGCGCTATGCGTTTCATGCCGACTGCCGCGCCGCGCTGCTCCGTTCCAGGTTAAATTATGTGTTTGATTTCTCTCTTAACTCGACTAATTTAAGGCGTTGTCTCTTGTATCACCAAAAGACGACAGCATTAGAAATTACTATACTTTTACTCTCAGGAAATGAGAGATTTTGCCGTCTTTTCTCGTTTGTAATTTATTTTCTGAATCCGATTTTTCTCTCTCTTTTTTTGATACCTACATTATGAAGTTTGCAAAATTTGCCGTCATGAGCTGCGGCCCATGTGGCCATCCCCTAAATCTGGCCCTGAGCACATTGATCAACATCATCCACAGAGCTTAAGATTCAATCTTGGACAAAAACAGGGATGCACCCAGTGGCGTAGGAAGGGGGGGGCCNTTGGAAATAGTATCATCTGGCCCCCCCCCCCAGAAATTCTGGATGGTGCATATCTTTTCATATCTTTATTTTTTGGTACATGACAAATGCTCATTCGTTCATAGTTACGTCTTGCTCATTATATTATATTTTACTTTGCATGGGCTTTTCCGAATACAGAACAATGATTCTGGCATTCACTAAACATTTATTTCGCAATTTTCACACAAATGAGTGGTTAAAAGTGAGAAAATAAATGGAATAACCTGTTGAATGCAACAATTTCAAAGTATTTTAACCTTAAAATGCATAAAACTGGGTGAATTTTATGCAGAAATTGAAGGAAGATTAACGCCACAAGTGCCTCGAGATGCTCTCAAATAGAGTTAAAATTTCAAAAATTTTCCGGGGGAGGCCCCCCGAACCCCCCGCTGACCTGGGGGGTATTCCATACCCCCCAGACCCCCCGGTGGTGGGGGGCCAGGCCCCCCCCAGCAAAATGGCCTAGCTACGCCTATGGATGCACCTTGTTTCTAGCGAAATTTTCACGAGGAGATATTAGTTTATATTTGCTGATTCCCCCCTCTCCTCTGGTCAGAATACCCCTACCTCCCTACCTTCATGCTCAACAGTCATCAGTATATTTAAAGGCAATTGTTGGCGTGTAGAGTGAGGCTGTCAATGATTTCTCTTAAAAATTGAGCATCTACTTGCTTTTTGTTTCAAAAAGTGCGCCAAACTTACTGGCGTTAACTTAATTGGTTCTTCTTTTATTTTTAATTAAATAGTTAAATAATCAGATTTAAAATTTTGGTGTAATTTCTATATTTCCATATTTTTAACACCTAACACCTTACACTATAACACCTAAAAATAAAATAATAAAAACAGGAAATCAGTTAAAACTGGAGTTAAGAAAAAAGTATATGGATCGTAAATTTCAAAAAGTCTCGTGATCAGCTATTAAAAGTTATTCGATCGATTTTCGTCTCTGAAAGGCGCAGTCCCCTTTCGATACTTGACGAGGAAAATGACGTCATTCTAAAACCTTCCGTCACCCGTCCCACGACGTGACTCGACGCGACGCGACGTCTGAGCGGGCGGGCGCGACGATGTATCCGATCCGCCGAGGACTCGGAGCGGAACGCGCAAACTTTAACCCAGTGCCAAGTTGAGCAAAGCGGGTTGTGTAACCAGGACCTCAAGTTGCACACCAGCCGTATCCTTTGCCGGCAACTCCTTGCATAATGCATGACCTGAGATCGTACTCAGTCGACACCGTCGCGATCTCGGAGTTTTTCATCAGGGTCCTCCGCGAAAATAACCCCACCTCTCCTCCTTGAAAGCTTTCGGTAAGCGGGAAAATTTCGCAAAAATAATATGCTCCTCAACCTCCTTCGACTACGATGCTCTATTTATGGCGACCAAATTGTAAATTACGATAAGATGCATTCGGCTCGCTCATGAATAAGAGATCAGTGTCTTAAAAATGTGATAGGTTAGATCTTTTTTCGCCTGTTTCTTAACTCACGAGGACACCGCAATTTGATCCATTGAGAGGTGCGGAGAATGTCATCGGTGAAATTCTGGTTGCAGCATGGAATTTGCGATTTAATCAGCGGTTTACTGGTGTGTGTTTTGCGGAAAACTCGATGGTGCCCGTTACATCGGCTAAGCTCCCTAAAACCTCTCCAAGTCCATAAGAGTGGTATTTTCAGAACTATGGGAGAATCCAGGTCAAACGCTCTGTGCAGAAATAGACTAAATACACGAGCAGGGTTGTTACTTTATGTGAGGCCTCCATGTGCTCGAATGGGAAAAATGTTTAGCCAACAGGCCATGGCAATCCATGCTCATCCATTCGGCCATCTATATACCTTGAGAATCATACAGGTATTTCTTGGATTGGGCAAGGGGTGGAGGAGGAGATCAGAAGGTGCCAATTGCCCGATGATCTCTGGGAGGAAAGGGGGCAATGGCGATTGGGCGTCGCAGAGCGCGAGACTGCGCTATGAAAGCGACTTATTGTTAGTGCATGTATTTATTGGATTGAACTCTATAATTGAGAATCGGACGCATATTACGCCATAAAATGTTTTAGTAAATTCTTTTTAAAATGCTGTTTGAGAATTTTCATGACGATTGTTGCCAAAACCGTGTCTCTCGCGAAAGTCTCACCGAAAATAATCGATGAAATCGCAAATTCCTTGTCCCTGCTGGAAAATCCCGAATTTATCTTGGTTTTTTTTTTTCGCTGATGATTAAAAAAACACGCATACAACATTCAGACGAATCATTTTAGGAAAAATCACCATCTTTGGTACACCGAATACTTATCACGCATCAGAGTTTATCTATATAGCCAGAGCAAATTTTTTCTTTGCCTCTCTCGCGATCATTTTTAACTCAACAACTTATGACAAATGACTATTCCTGAGAGTTCGAGCATACGCGAGAAGCAACAGACGATGAGGCAGCAGGATAGTAATTAGTTTTAATAATCCAGTCGCCATGCCGTATAAAAGCGGAGTCCATAGAGGTCTATGAAGGTGTGAATTGCGTCGTCACTTGGCTGATATTTCTGCGCCCTTTTCATCCTTTCTTCCTCCCTAGAGTGCTAATTGTAGGACGCAGCAATGAGTTCTAATGTATTTTTTGATATGATTTATTGCCCCGACTCTATATTGACGGCGAAACTGCAAAAACGCTTATCTTCTTTGCGGTGTCTCAAAATCTTCCCCTGTATTTTATTTGTATAAAAGGAGGACAAACTGACACTATTGCTTAAAAGGAGGGGTATCGTTAGGGGCCTTTTTTGGGCCGGCCCTGAAATTCCTCAACTCCGCAATTTTTTAGTCATTGAAGGTCTATATTTTACGGAGTGCATCATGGTTTGGTCATTTCCGATATATTTCGAGGTCTACCACTGGCCTAAACATGGGTCTGCAGGTCAATTTTGGCGGAAAATGCGGGTTTTTGGGCATTCGACGCGCTGTTTCATACCGATCCTTTCGGAGGACAAACAAGTCCTTCAAGTACTGTTCATTAGGGATGTAAGAGAGTCACTTTGGCCAATTTTTGTCAATGTCAAACTTTGCGCTCATAGTAACAAAAAAAAAAAAAAAAAAACTTTTTAGAACTTTCCTGTTTTTCATCATTTCTTAAAATTGCTTAAGACAGCGACTCTTCTTACGCCAGAATATTCTTCTTGCGAAGCAGGGAAACTCGACTATGTTTTTAAGAAATGACGTTGAGTGTTTTTTTTCATTTAAAAACGAATTATTACATGAAGTACCTGCAGAGTTGCAAACCGTTTACGCTTTTTTGCAGTTTCACTGTCGAAACACTTTCTATGGTTTTGTGCACCGTTGCTTGCGGCTGAATGGGTTTGCGCCTCGCGAGGAATTGTCAAAGAGTGCATGGAGCGGAATCGACCGCGTGCATTACTAAAATCTGGTCGCATTTCTGCCAAACGGAACTATGTGCATTAAGACATGAGCCCTGAGACCCATAAGAATATGTGCATAACAGGGCTCACGTCATTAATGCACATAGTTCCGTTTGATAGAAATACGTCCATCTGACACTCATGGCAACACTAAGCTGTGCAAGTGCAGAAATTAGGGCCGCGCTGCATTCTTGCACCGTTGCACCTGCGGGCTCTGGACTAATTTGCAGTGATGCAAATATCAGTCCATAAAATACTCGGGCTCACAATGATCTCAGGAAACGCAGGTTTTGAAATGGACATTGCATGGAGTGATTCTCCACTTCTGCTTGAGGATTTGCTCTTACCGCTCGGCTAATGAGCGTTAATTGTTAATGCCTCACTGAGTAAAGATATTGCAAGGCCGTCATAATGCCAATAGTACAAAGAATAGACCTCGTCTCTGAATGGCTCTAAATTCCACGTATTCATATCAAAAATTTTCTGTTGATATTCTGTAGGAATAAGGGGGGATAGGGGGAGTTTGAAACTACGAAATTAGGATTTAGAGCATGTACCGTACATTGACCCTTTTGAAATTTGCACCCAAACAGCGTTTTCGTTTTCCCTTTAAACTTTTTAGCTGTGCATTTCTCACTTTTGAAGTTTGCGCTTTTGGAATTTTGCGTTTTTGAAAATCATCTACCTTAAACCATTGAATTTTTACACATTGAGAAGAAAAAGTGAAATCCAGAGCTCATTTTTTCACATGATATTATCGGAGGCTGGTTTAGGCGAAATAATTAAAATTTAGATATTTTTTTTTAAAATTTGACTTATCTCTTTCTTCTGTGCTATTATTTAGTTTTACCTAAGCATACGGAAAAATAAATACCTTTACAATATATCTATTGAAAGTAGTTAGGAGAGACAATGTTTCCTTGCCTACATGGGCGTGCCACGCCATTACCAATGGGTGGTGAAATATATCTAGCTTTGTAAGTAATGTAAGTCAATTTACATGTTTACTTACCTGCATGGTCACACAATTTTAAACGAGTTTACGTCGACTTTTTGAGGTAAATACGCATATGAAGTAAAAGCTTACCTCTTGTTTCCGTATTTTTCTGGCGAGCTCGGAGGCACTACATTTGATGTACTCGCTCTTGATGGGAGGCAGTGGTTTCTGATGGACGAAAAACGCTCTCACGGCCAAGATCGGAGTGATCATAAACGATAAAACTTTCAATATGAATCCATAGATATGCATGGCGAACTCCATCTTGACCAGCTGAAACCAAAATTGACGTAATTTGCATTAGTTTAGTATTAAATGGACGTATTTCTAGCATACAAGAAATAGTTGCTTCAGGCGCCGTGGCACGCTGCGGCGCGGCGGGCGGGCAGCCAGCGCGAAAAGCGCACCAGCGCCTACAAACCTAACAGGGATACTTCACGCATGGCGCCATGCGTGAAGTATCCCTGTTAGGTTTGTAGGCGCTGGTGCGCGCTTATCGCTGGCAGCACGCCGCTCCGCTCTGTGTTAGGCTTTAATATAACCTTGCGGAGTCAGCGTTTTTCAACTCATGATTTTGAAATGTTTGGACATCCTGTATGGATTATTCTCATTTTAATTGATGAAAAAAAAATATGTATTAAAGGAAAATATAATGTGTGTTTTGTGAATATTATGGTGGATCCGTATCAAACTTAATGATTTCCAAAGCACACGAATTTCTACAATTTCTTATAGCCTTTTATAGCCGATGGCGATAAAGTGTAAAGCCCGGCGATAGGAACTATAGCCCGGCTGCATATTTTTTTATCGCTTCGTATAGCCCGGCTATATCTTAATTTGAGCGGATTTCCTTTTGATTTGAGCGTAAATCTGATTGAATCAAGAGTCCTTTTTCTTGTCAATGTTTTCAAGAGTCTGGACTCTAGATCCAATGTGTTTTTTTTTCCAGCGTGGCGAGGCGTGAATAGTCGTTTTATCGATATTTCCCTACTTGAAGCTATAGTAAAGAATCGATTTTTGAGGTGTTCCTAGCAGACACCCTGTTTGTCGATCCCTTCTTATTGATTTAAATTGCAGATCGATCGATATATCGCAAAGCACGCCACGCCACTGACGTATTCGTAACGTAAACATTCATTTTTGTGTGTGGAAAGCTCCATTACTTAGGAAAAAGAACGCATTGTGTCCTGAAATACGCTTATTTAACCAAACTTCCGAATGAGCACGCGGTTAATCGAGCTTGTGGTGTATTCATAACAGTCAGATCCTTAAAGATTTAATTTCAACGGCGCGTATGTAACACAGCGGGAAGCACATTCTACGCGCGCTGCAAGTTGCAACGCTGAGTAAAAACGACGTATCTACAAAGAATACCCATCCGGGAGACGCGCTTTCAGTTTCGTTAAACCGGGGAGAGTGAACGCGGTGCCGCACAGAGGAGCGAGTCAATTAGCGAGGTCGGACATGAAATTTTTGACTTAAACTGCAAATTTTGGTATTTATTTCTTCGGATTTTAAACTTTACGGGGTGCTTCTGAAAGGAAATTACACGAGGAAACCGATGGTACCACTTTCAGAACCTCAAATTTTTGAATAAACGGAGTTATAAGCGTTCAAAGTTTCCAAATTTTATCCGACCTCTCCCGTTGACTCGATCCACAGTGTGCCGGTGCATGGGACTTGATCTCGGCACCGGCAGGACGAGAGGCGCGTCCGTCTCGCCGCTTGCATAACGCTGCAAGCTGCATCCACTTGCAGTTGCAGTTGCACCACATTTCCTGGTTCTGGTGAACTTTTTGTCTCGTTCGGGCTCTGCTGCAGTGCTGCGCTCTCGTGCTGGAGTCGGGAGGATTGGCCCCCTTGGGCGATGGGGGGGGGGGGGGGGGGGGGGCTGCGCCGACAGCGGCGGCGGTGGCGTTAGCGGTGTCCGGTGACTAGGTCACTGGGGCAAAACGGGCGCTGTGCCGTCCTGGTGAGGGGAATCCTTTCTCCTCGAAGGGAAATGAGCTGTGCACTCACATTTCAAGCAGGGAGGATATTTCCTTCTTTTAAGGGAGGGTCTCCTTCTCCGGTGTCTGAGAAAAAATCATAAATTTGCCGCCGGAATTTTTTTTTTTTAAATCAAGAATGATGTTTTCTAATTTAAGGTGCATTTGCTTGTCCCATGCATTTTTTTCTTATTGTTACAAGAGATAATTAGATTGGATCACGATGAAATGGACTTTTGGTCGCAAATTCAAGGTATCACCATGCTTGAACAGATCACTTTTTTCCGTAAGTGCTGCGGCTTTTAACTTCACGCTTTTTACAAAAAGTTTAACACCTCTAAGCAAAGAACGGGGCAGCTGTGATTCAACAATTTACTTCAATATGAAATATTTTACGGGTGACACGATGATGCAAATGGTTTTGTCTGAAATTGGACGTATTCCTGTCAAACGGACCTAAGCGCCATAGGGTGAGGAAGGTAGAGGGGGGCTTGGATTGGCGGCGGAACCGGGCGTCGAGATCATTCCGTCCTATACTCGCAATGCTTTTCCATGGCGATTAGTTCCATTTGACAGAAATACGTCCAATTATCCTTATAGCTCGTCAAAAGCTCTCAAAATTGAGGCTGTTATAATCTGAAGCTATGACATCATTACAGCATCAATTTTTAGAGGCTTTTGTCGCTTGGAGGTCGGTTTTTGATGAAGCTAAGACCAACACCTTGAAAATTGTTCTATTTTTTTTTTTTTTTTTTTTTTTTTTTTTTTTTTTTTTTTTTTTTTTTTAGAAGCTCTTGAAATCGTGAGTTTGCAACTGAAACCGCAAACATTTAAGAGAAAGATGACATTTGGTCCAAGCTTTAATATTCGATTTTTATCAATAGGAAATATTCAGATTATTTCTGTGAGATTAAATAAGAAAAACAAAAAAAAAAACAAAAAAAAACAAAAAAAAAATCGTTCGATGATCTTTGCCAATTTCGCACGAATCTACTCGAAAACGGAAAGTCCTTTGGCATTAACAAATTGCTACATTAACCACCGGCAAAGGTCGAATTCACAGAGGGAGACAGAAATAGTGCGTGAACTTCTGAGCCATTTGAAATGCGCATATATTTTGGGCCGATTATGAAAACTCATCGAATATTTAGTCGGGTCTGATGAGCCGATAACATATGACCTTACCGCGTTTAGTCGCTTTCGATCGTATTAACAGCATCCGGCTGGAAAAATCTACTCCGACCAATGAAAGAAAACCTTATCCCGGCAGTGCGACACCAAATTTTATTCGGCGCAAGTCATATAGCATTGCATCTCGATTTTATTCCGCTCGCATTTTGATTTGTTATTCAAAATAGTATAATCCGTCTCCTCTGAACTTGGTTGGCGACTGAATCGATATAAATATTTTTTAAATATATTCTCACAGAGCTACATTGAAAATGTTTAGAATGATAAATATGACCTGTACTTTTAAAGTAGGGTAGAGAGTCGATAAAAATTTCCTTAAATTTCAGGGAAACTAAAATGTGGTATATCTTAAAGAGAGACCAATTCAATACAGTGTATTTATATTTTTGACAAACTGACAGACATCTCTGACGTGGTATTTTTCTTTTTGACGATAATTTTTAGCTCTCCGTCATGAAAACCTGTTAATTTCTTCGACTTTATCTAATGAGACGAGAGGTAGAATCTGGACTTTAGTATGGACGAATTTGTTCTCCAGTGACGATTTTGATTTTAAGAGCTTTATTTGAGCTGAACAGCGATTTCAGGGGAAACCAATGACGGCACCATAGTATCTCCCGCGAGGTCGAATATAGAATTGTGATGAAATCGAAACCTCGGCACCTAAAAAAACTTCAGTCACACTGGAAAAAAAACTCCGGCCGTGGAAGTCGTACTTAAGGGCTATATGCATAGGCATGCCGTCCGCGTGCCGGCTTTGAAGTCGAAAGTTCCGGGCGTAGCACCCAGAGCAGTTGAAGCTACGGCTCTAGCAACCGGAACTTCCGGTCTCTGGTCCCAGAACGGACGGTATGTCTATGTAGCCCGTAACTTTTTTTCAGTGCATTAACGATATGCCGTTGGTAAATGAATTTGAATAGAGAATCTGGCGATGCAAGCGTAGGGGATATCTCATTACAACTACCATTGCGCGGTGACACTATTTACAGAGATGAGCTTTCTCTCCTCGTTAGTAATTATGGCATATTTTCGGAAACTTAATTCCCAGATAATATGACTCTCGTGCAAACCCTCGCAACTGAACTAAAATTATTGAAAAAGTACCAACTTATAAATTTAAAAAAAAGCTTTGTTCTAGGTTTGTTTTGAACTCTACCAATTGTATAATTTCACCTTCCCATTCGTTGAGTTAAAAAAACGCGAAACCTCTTTTTCTCAGTTTCAGTCTGATGTTGGCTTCTCTTAGACGAAATCGATCCAACTGCATTGCAGACCTGCGCTATTTTAGGAGCCCACTAATTTGAATTTTGACAGAACTGTTCTTCAATAGATTAAGCTTGATGGGACGAAATCGGACTCGACATCCAGACCTCGTTAAACGACATTATGTGCCGAACTCATGCAAATGCAAAAACACAGACAATTTAAATTATCTGAAAGTTAGACTTCAGAATCGCAAGAGTCCTTAGCTGAGGGAAATTTACCACTCATCATACAAGTTTAGCCCCAATGCCCCTCCCCAAAACAGGGGAGGAAAAATTACGCCAATATATAAGACGGGGTCGATGTTAAATAAGTCGAACCATACGGGAAAATAAATATATAAAATGAGATAACCCTATACCACAGTTAAAAGGAATTGGTTTTCCATCATTTCACGCGAGAAGCGATCGCAAATTGAAAAAAATGACCTTTAACAGCGATTCAAATTTCGAGGACGGAAATTGAGGAATATGAGAAAAGCGTTGTTAAAATTTGCCGGGTGTCCTTGTCAGATTTAGAATTAGTGAATGCTAAAAAGTCTGTGTAAAAATACGAGGAGTATTTGTAATGTTCTTTAGATTATAAAAAAATGATTAATTACTATCGAAAACTGGAAGTCGAAGTTTACCCCGAACTGGGATTTTTGCTGTACAGAAGATTTTGCGTTTAATTCGAACGGTAAATTTTGCCGACGTCGTATTTTATATTTTTTTGCGTTGAAGAACTCCGCACCGGAGAGAGTATTGTTAAAACATTAGAAACACCACACTGAGAAAAAAAAAGTATGGTTTGAGGGATAGTGATATGAGTATGGTTGACTCAATGGTAGCGAAAACCGTAACTCGAATTACATTTACCAAAAGTATGGTAAATCCTACCATAAGAGGAAAAACACTATGAAATGGCCCGAACTGTATATAGCAGGGTGGAAAAATGGTCCACGCCATTTCGTGGAGAAAACAAAATAAAAAAAAATCCAAAAATTTCAATTAGAGAGAGATAAAAAAATATTGAGTAAAAATGTTGAGCTCTAATGAGTATCAGTACAAGACTGAGAGGTTAGAGCTCAACATTTTTACTCTAATTGAAATGTTTGGAATATTTTGGCTTTGTTTTTTCTGCGAAATGGTGCGGGCCCAGCACCATTTCACCACCTCGCTTTACCAGATGTAAGGATACATTTTCCCTACAATATCACTATGTCAAAAATCAAGTACACTAAAATCGTCACCTCCCGGGCAAAGTATCACAAGCGCCATGCGACGTTTAAAAATTTCCGCCGCCATTTCATTTTTTTACAGAGAAATTGTTCAACGAAGCTGTCCAAAAATTTCACTGAATTTTCTTTTTGCTGCCAATAAAATTCAGTTAAATTTTCAAACAAATTCAACCAAAAATTTTTCTGTAAAAAAATATAATGGCAGCGGAAATTTTGAAACGTCGCATGGCGCTTGTGATACTTTGCCCGGAAGGTGACGAAATGATCATTTACCATTCTTCTGGCACATTTTTCTCGGTGCACCTGGTAATTGTTTTATTTAAAAAATGCGCGGTTTTTTTTTTTAAATGAGTGTTTGACCTACCTGTTCCTGCTCTTCAAAAACAAACTATATTCTAGCACGAGTGATCAATCAAATGAAACCATTTACACTGATGGGAAACAAATAACACAAGTATTGGAGAAAAAACGAACCTGGTGCGAACGCCTCCCGAAGTCTAAAACACGTGTGAAAGCACTAAAATCGCGCCGACGGCATGCTTCTCGGTCAGCGACACCGCACGGACTGAAAAAAGCAGGACGCTCTGCCGCCCGCCCGGTGGAGGCGAACCGTGAAGCGCCGCGCGCCGCACAGTAGAGCGAGCATTTACCTAATAAGAAAGGTTCGACTAGAGTCCCTTTATAATCCTTATAATAAATCCCTCAGTATCCCTTTGATTAAGACAATTTGAATCCCTTTCTGATTGGTTCCCGTCAGGCCTTCTCAGTGTCACAAATGGGGATAAAGATTATATATTTGCACCAATTGCAAAGATTATACTGGAATTGACTGGGAAATTGGGGGTACGGCAAGAAGCAAATGGAATGAGGGAGGGAACGGAGGTAGGAATTCGGGGAATGGGTGATCAAATGGACTGAGTTAAGCAGAAAGGAACCAACCCACATTTTGGAAAAAATTGAGTTATGAAAGGTTTTGAATTCAACCACTGCTCTACTATCTATCGCCGAAAATTCAAACTTTTTTTCGGAGCAAATTTTGCAGAAATTGAACTTGAAGTTTATCTTTTACATTGAGTCTTACGCAGGAGCCAAACTTTAAACCTCTTTTTCTCAGCTCGATCCCGATGTGGCTTGGTTCCTTTCTGTTTAACTCCGTCCAAATATTATAAAAGAACGTCCGATTTGTGTAAGCTTTGTTTTCCCGCCTGTGGCATCCATTAGCCTCGTTTTCTCAACTCTCTCTATAAGGCTACTCTATCCCAATGTAAACAAACCCCAGCCCCTCCGCTCCTAGTCTGGTCCAATGTAAACAAACAATTTGGCGACAAAGTTCTACAAAGTTCTAAACGTGATTTTGGATGTGATAGAGATTTTTTTACGATCAACTTTAGATTTGAGTTAGGATCGTACCCCGATGGACATTAGCCGAAAATTAACCTTTGTGTGTGATAATCGTTCATTTCCAAGCCGATGATACGTGTTCCTGTGGGTCGGGTTTGTTCACATTGGGCCAACTTCGGAGCTCCATGGTAGCCCAAAACTGATGAACCAATCAGATCCTGGTAAAAATTGGCGATAGGAGCTGCGTTTCAAAATACCATAGGAGTTCTCATAGCCGACTAAAGAAGGCTATAGAACTGGCATATAGCTGGCTGTAGAAAGCGGAGCAAATCATATACCGGGCTATACGAAGCTATATAAAAAAGTATACAGTCGGGCTATAGTTTCTGTCGCCGGGCTTTACACATTATCGCCATTGGCTATAAAAGGCTATAAGAAATTGTGTAGAAATTCGTGTGCTTTGGAAATCATTAAGTTTTTTACGGAACTACCTTAATGTTTACAAAACGCACATTATATTTTCCTTTAAAATACATTTTTTTTCATCAATTAAAATGAGAATAATCCATAGGGAGTGTGCAAACATTTCAGAATCATGAGTTAAAAAACGCTGACTCCGCGAGATTAAATATTAGAGCCTAACACAAAGCGGAGCGGCGACGAACTGGCGCCTACAAACCTAACAGGGATACTTCACGCATTGCGCAATGCGTGAAGTATCCCTGTAAGGTTTGTAGGCGCCAATGCGCGTTCAGCGTACGCGTGCCGCAGCGTACCGCGGCGCTTGAAGCAACTATTTCGCACCAGAGGTATTGCAAGAATACTGTGCAATACCTCATGATATATCATAAGAAATTGAAGGCGCTCCAACATATTAAGATTGACAGGCATCCATCAAAAGTACGGAGCTTTCCGCGCAAAATAAATCAAGATACTGCGGCCCAAAAGAAGAGCGGTAGTCCATGCAAAAACTCACTAAGTCGTAGCATCCGTAATTAGTAACGTTTGGCATACAGTTTATCGCCAGGCTGTTGCTTAGTCGCCATCGGCTATAAAGGGCTATAAGATATTGTGTCGCCGGCTATAGAAGCTATTGGAAATCTTACAGCCGGCTGTAGGTCTATGGTATTTTGGAACACAGATTCTACTGCCAATTTTTACCAGGGTGGGTTCTTGATGTAAGCTTAAATCTGATTGAATCGAGAGTATTTTTTGTGCCGCTCTCCCCTGGTGAGAGCGGCACAGAGATGGCAATACCCTCTCATACACAGGTACTCCAGAGAAGACACGTGACCGCCGGTGCTTCCCGCGTTTTTTTCAGCCAATTTTACACCCGACGACCACTCTCTCATTCCTTATGGAAAATAAAACATTTTTTCTCCGACCAGTGGCGTGGCGTGCTTTGCGGTGTTTCGATTGATCTGCCATTTAATCCCACGAAGAAGGATCTAAAAACAGGGTGTTAATTCGCAAAGAACACCTTAATTATCGATTCTTTACCATAGCTTCGAATGGGAGAATAACGATAATCGATCGTTGATGCGCGCCACTGTATCCGACCCCTCCGGATGGCTCGATCCACTGTGCGCCGGGCCGCTTGCCTCGGGTGGGGAGAGCCATCACGAGCAGCTTGGTTGAGTCGAACTAGGATAGCCGAATCACCGAATTTCGGTAGGGCTCCGGTTGATGTGGTCGACATTGACATTGGTTCGAAGCCGTCAAGGGAATAGCTGAGAGGACGTGACCCCACGTTCCCGAATTTACTCGTCAACTTTAAATATTCAGCCGTCCGTTACGTCACAAAAATTTGATGTATCAATCGATGCCGGTAAAAGATTTACCAGGTTACAATACCAGGAATGAGCACTCTCAATATGACTCTTACGCACGGCAGGGCCGGATTTACCTACTTGCCGCCCGTGGGCCGCCCGTATTTTGCCGCCCCCTTCTCATTCGTTTTGAAACATCAATAAAAACCATCAAATGAACGTGCCAGCGGGGGAGGGGTGCATAAGACGCGTTTACTTGTGTTGGACACATTTTTGGGAAAGCCCTGTCTACACTACTAGCAAAAGTTCACGGAACTTTGCGCGAAAGTTAAGTCTCGTAAACCTATCTCTGCGTAAAAATCGATTAACTTGTCGTTGTCTTTGCACAAGTAGCGTTTGGCTAACTAGGATCCAATTATTAACACACACTTTTCCTGAGTACTAATTTTTTGGTGAATTTGAGACATCTCAAGGGAGGAAAACTGCGCTTCGAAACTATTACACCGAGTTGCCGGTATCAAATGTATTTTCCTTCAAGCTAAACATGGGAACAATCTGACTAAAAATTACCGATTTCTTTTTCATCCGACAACTCATAGCTTAACGCGTGTAAAAACCACCATGGTCATAAATAGTTGTCGAACCACCCATTGAAGAATGGTGCCGTTTTCCTCGTTTGAATTCTTCAAACCAAACGTAGGTATTAAGTATATTGCTAAATAGAGATTTGTCTCTTACTCATGGTACGGGAGTGATCAGGTTTATCCCTAACCAATGTTGTCAAATCGGTGTAGAAATAAATTGTAATTTTTCTTACCAAAGTTCTCGGACCCTGGTATATATATCATCAAAATGAGGAGCTGATGAAAAAGTGTACATCTTGAGGGTGCGTGAGATTTATCGATCAGACATTATTTCTGGTTTATTGGATATCGAGAAATATTTTCATGAAAAATCGGCAACATCTGATTCTGATGAAATCATCCACTCTGACTTCAAGTTTAACATTAGGACGGTTCCAATAGCATTTAAAATGACTCTCTCAGATTCAGTGCTTTAAATATATCACAATCAGCTAGTTGTCAGCGACGCGACGTCGGTAGTGGTAACGAACCTGCGAGAATTAAATTCTGACTGGGAATCATTGTCAAGTAAGCATCTTTTGATAACGTATATGATGATATTTGTGACTTCATTGCATGCGAGTATGATCTTTTTTTCTTCTTTTTCTTCTTTTTTCTACAAAACCTCACGGGAATAATAATCTTCTTCATGTTAGCATAATTTACCCGAAATAGTGATTATACTGTATCGCACAATGCGAACAAATGGAGATTTCGCATGCAAATTTTTTATCACTTCATATGAAAGTGCTTATAGAGCTGATCTCACAGTATTTTTCGTAATTTTTTTCTGATATGGGAAATAGTATAAAAATAGATTTAAAAGTGAAAAAATGCACCGCTTAGTGACGTCATCTGGCGGCATTTCCCATTTAAACAGGTGTATTTTAGCAGATTAGATCATTTTGTCATATGCTCTCCAATAATTGTTCAATTCATGAACCAAGGGTATCCTCGTGTTCAGTTCACTCAGTAGTTTCCACTTAAACACGAAATTTATCAAATTTGAGACACCTGCAAATTCTCTATTGTAAGGGTTTATTTTCAGCAATTTTCCATTCTAAATTATTCAACCACATACCAGTAAAATAATTGTAAACACTCTGTCTAAAAATGAGATCAATTCCTGAAAAACCTTGTCTCGATCCAAAGAAAAAATGCACATGAGATTCGAAAGTAGGGTATGATCAAGCACACATTTGAAAATCTTAAGTAGTTCATATTTTTTTTCTTCTTGTCGTTCAAGAGAACTAATGTCATCTTAAGCTAATTACTGCGCGATCATAATGGTTGAGTTTGACCCGCAATGCATGGCTCGGTGAGAGTTTTTTCTCTGTCTACGCATTTCGCTAATATAAAGTCATTGTGAAACTTCGTACTTAAGTTACTCTTTTTATCATTCGGAGAAACGTATGGGAACAAACGGTGTGAATCATACCCTATGTTGTGATCCATCCGACGTGTCAGGTGTTGCAAGAGGTATGGTCTTAAATTGAAGGCGATTTATGGACGTGCGGAGGATTCAACGATCAATTATTGGCCGGATTTCTATCAAACGGAACTATGTGCATTAAGACATGAGCCCTGAGACCCATAAGAATATCTGCATAAGGGCTCACGTCATAATGCACATAGTTCCGTTTGATAGAAATGCGTCCAATTATTATTGAAAGAGAGCTGCAATAGTCCCGTGTTCCATACCTAACCTCAATTCGCCCTCGCCACTCATACCCAGGGTAAAGATAAATTTATTTAGTTTTAAATAAAACTAGGGGGCTACCCGCTACAGGCTACACCCCCTAACCGCCTCGCGATCCAACCTCCCGAAGCGATTCACGCCTCATAGGTATTATGCTATACTCTTATGATTTTACCTATAGAGTAAAATATAGGTGTTAACGAACAAGTTTGGTATTAAATAGATTTTTTCGAAGTCTCTCTGGGCGAACCTGACTGCTAGTTCCTAAAAAAAACTGCCCTTAGACACGGTTAATTTGCAAAATAGTATCAGAATCTACACAAATTGCGCGCTAAGGAGTGGATTTCAGATTTTTCCGATGTGCCTATCGTGATTTCGGTGCAATTTTAACCATGAATAGTACATTCTATTGGCTGTATCTCGTATGTGCAATAAACCCATTAAAGGAAATCTAATAAAGCAAATTAAGTATTCTATTTATACTCAACGCGATGTGAGTAGAACTAGGGGTCGAAAACGTACCAAGCTTTCCAAATAATTGCTAGATCGGTGTTGAGTGCTGTCCATGAAAAGTGATGCCTTTTTTCTCTTTTCAAATGAAGTATGAGATCCAAGATCAAGTATTCGATCCAAAGATGAAATTTAATCATTTTATAGACGAAATTCTGTACGATTTTGCGAAATGGGCAGAGGGCAAAATCATAATTTCGCGGATTTATACCGTTTTCTCATGTTGTTTTTTAGCGGCTTCCCAAGTTTTTGCAGGCTTTCCGGGGTTCCACGCGATCTGTAGGATGATCGACCCCTGAGTAGAACTCTTACTACTTTACACCTCAGGGAAAACTACAAACGTTTTAATTGTGGCTGTTTCAGAGCGATGAAATACTTCAACCTCCTGTGCGTCTTGTTTTTGATGGGGATCTTCCTGGGGAGCGTCTCCGTTGAGGCGAAAGCTGGTCGTTGCCCAAGCGTTCCACCAGAGACATTTGGGTCTTGTGCTCAACGATGCTCAGGAGACAACTCTTGTCCAGGCCGACAGAAGTGCTGCAGCAATGGATGCGGAAGAGCATGCAAGAACCCCTACTAACTTCCCAAGATTGGTTTGCAAGATGATCAGATACACTCAAAGATTGTGCTCAACGATGCTCAGGAGACAACTCTTGCCCAGGCCGACAGAAGTGCTGCAGCAACGGATGCGGAAAAGCATGCGCTAACCCCTACTAACTTCCCAAGATTGGTTTGAAGGAAGATCAGATACACTCAAAGATACATCTTGAGCAATAAAATGCATTTGCGTTGATATTAACTCGTTGATTCTTTTCCCTTCTATGAGCGTGTTTTTATTGAGTCTGAGATGGATGGATCTTTTCAAATATTTTAGAAATAAAAAGATATAAATCATTTGCAATATGGCAGATTCTTGTTTTTCGCTTGTTCTGTCTCATCTGAGGTTTTTAATATAAAAGCTTCCTCAAACACGATGGTTAACGTGGTTCCGTGTAACGCACAGAAAGTTGCATCATACAAGCCGACCGTGTCTTCGAACAGTGAACAGGGTAGGGAGACAACTGACCCAAAAGGTTGAAAGCCTGCGATGGCGGGTGGGTACATATCTACTTGATACAGTAAGATGAGATGATACTTTATTATGTATTTTTACACGAAAAAAACCGAAGGCATCATTCCTTTTAATTCATCACTTCGGGTTTTCATTGTTTTGCAATAAATTATCAAGCAAGTAGCAACTAAGGAAGTGTCTACGTCCATTCATGGAATTTGTTTCTCTTTTGATCATGATTTTAGAGAGTGATTCAAGTAGGTACAAGTCTCACCTCCTTAATTTACTGCTCAGGACGTGGCGTGGGTATAGGGGTAAGTTTACTTTTTGTGTGGGTGACACTTGAACCTCGATCCCTACACGATAATAATTAGACGTATTTTGCTAGAAGTAATAGTGGAAAAATGTTTCTTTATTTAGTTTTCCCTAATCAAGGAGCGACCAGTGAGAGAAGTTGAGAAAAGTGAAGTTAGACATTTTTGGAACTGGCTCGGAACACGTTCCGATTGTTACGGCTTGTTTCGCATCAACATTTTACGACGGTGTTGCAACGTTGTGCAAAATGTTTTCGATTAGATAAGTCCAGGCCACTAAAAATTGGTGATATATACTAGAAAAATGGGATTTAAATATTCCGCACTGCTTGAAACAGTTATGATTGTTACGTATTCAATTTTCTAAACGAAGATGATGATTACAATTATTATTAGTAGTGGTAACAGGCTACAAGAAGGTGAAACGAGCTCTGCTTGTTACACGCAAATGTTGGATCCATGAAAGTAAGAGTTTCCGCTGTTGCTAGAGAGTTAAATGAGTTTAAATATTTTGTACGTTTCATTCCTGAATCATCGAGAAATAATGATTTATTCTTAAAAATAGACGATCCAACGCTTTTTATGGTTCAGGATGACGATCCAAAAATCCAGTAAGATCTGCCTCTAAAAGTGAATTATAAAATTCTCCAGTATGCATGTATTTCGCTGACAACAAAAAAGGATCATGAAAAAAAAAAACTCAAAAAAAAACTCAAAAAAATACTGTTTGCTGTCCTCGAAAAATAGCTGACGAACGAAGAGCGAATTTCGCTTTCTCTCCTACCCGTACATTAAGGTCTCTCAAGTACATTAATGTTGTCATAGATGGACTAGATTTTTCAATAAGGAACCACAATTTCTGCAGGCTCATTTACAGAAGCACCTATACTTGTGTATAGGGAAATTAGAAGGACGCTGAACAAATTCCGCTTTTTTTTCTACCCCTGCGTTAAAGTCCCTTCAGTAGGTACATTAATTTTGTAACAAATGGACTTCACTTCACAATGAAGAACGATACTTATTACTTATCCCTATAGCTCACCTGTAAAATCACCGATCAGTTTAGGGAAACTAATGGCACATATGTTATTTCTGAAATGAGTCTAGAATAGTAGTTTCTGATCGCAAAATGTAATCGAATTTGACAGAGTTGATTACGCACGGAGTTGCGTATTGACTTTGAAAGAAGGAAAAGAGGTTTGTGGTATTATTCTCCCATGGAACTCAAAATTTAACATCGTTTTTAAGTTCAAAATATTTTTCTTCGACTTTGAATTTTTGACAGGAGAACATTTTCGACTAATTATTGTTTTTAAAACTACTCCTAACTCATTTTTTATTTGTCGAAAATGTGGCTCGGTGCGTTCCTTTTTAACTAGTTCCAAATATTCTTACCCACAATCAAATGAAAAGGTTAGTACCTCCAAGATCAGACATAAAGCAATGATGCACGGGTATGAACTCATCTCAACAGGAAATCATGGCGACGACCGATCTTAATGAAATCATCCTCCCTGACGTCACGTAGAGCGTTATACAGAAGGTTTCAATCCCGCTTATAAAGACCCTTGCTTTTCTAGTACTTTAGACACTTTTCAACTAACACGTTATTGGCAAGTGCCAGTGAATTCTAACGTAGAACTTGGAGTGGAAACAACGACAATGAAGTGAGCGTCTTTTTAATTATCTGACCGTTGATGTAACTATGTTATAAAATATCGTGGTATTAATATCATCGTTTACATCTGCATGTTCTCTCTTCCGACTTCTTTATTGCTCGCCATAGAATTCATGAATTGCTTATAATGCGCATGAAAAATTGATCGGTGCACTGCACTAAGCAAGAGCGTATTCGCGAAAAACTCAAGAATTTTGTAAGAAAAAAAAGGAATACCGTGTCCTTTTGTACAAATGAACCTTACACTGAAAAAAAGTAGCTTGGATTAAGCATGGTGATTCTTGAATTTGCCGCCAAGAATTTTTGTATCTTGCTTTAAGCTGACTTTTTCTTGATACAAGAAAACTAATGCTTGGGTTAAGCAAAAAAGTAGCTTATATTAACCAGAAAAATTTTTGATTTAAGAAGAAATACTTCTTGGCGGCAAATTTAAGATTTTTTTTTCTTTTCAGTGTATGATGCAGCTTCCTCTCTCTTTTATAAGCTTTGTAAAATTATAGATGACCCGTTTTCATGAGGATTCAGTAAGACGCAGTTAAGGCACACTTGACCCCTAATTGGGGATCGTCAGAATTGATTTCCTTTAACCTCTTCCGCATGACAAAAAAAAAGATGCAGCCAAAATGCCATATTCTAATGCTGACATATGATCCCATCAATTTCGTTTGGAGTCACGTATGAATCATAATGCCATCAAAATATGGTTCACATCACGTTGAATTCCATTGCACTATGGTACATGTTTAGTTTTACTGTAATAGGACTCTATGAATTATTTTAGTAAAGAAAAAGTTAACTCTGCTTGCGACGATACAAACTTCCTGGTGCGTACCTCCTTAATGGAAAAAACCAACAGATTTAAACTCGTGTTGAATTTCACAGGATTTTTATTTCACTTCTGAAAAGAGGATATGATTTGTGAAGAGGCACACATTTTTGCCATGCAGTTAACTTTCTATACTATTCTATATATTTCAGAAAAATGAAATACATCAAGTTTTTGTGCTTCCTGTTTTTAATGGGGATTTTCCTAGTCAGTACATCTGTTGAGGCCAAAAATGGTCGCTGCCCTCCAGTTAAACCACCATCAACCAAAGGTATCTGTGATGAACTATGCTCAGAGGACAACGATTGTCCCGGCCGCCAAAAATGCTGCAGCAACGGATGTGGATATGGATGTAGAAACCCTTACTAACTTATTGAATATATTTCCTACTGTATACGTAGCAAGAATCATCTCGTGCAATAAAGTACCTACGTTCGTGTAAATTTTAATTCATTGATTTTTCCCACAATCCTTGCCGAATGCACTGCGGGTCCTAAAATGATAAATATTCCACAAATACGAAAAAAGAATGTTGCTCGTAAGCATGTCAGTGAAGCAATATGAAAATAAGAGATGAGAAACGGAGGGACTGTATTGCATCACAACGTTTCAAAGTTTTATCTGAAGAATTATTTCTCTTATTAATGAGTGCATGTTTTTCATCGAGAATTTCAGGGAATTCCGTCAAAATTCAAAGTAAATGTGCGAAAATTTGTATAAAGAATCGTAAAATCACTCTCAAATAACAAAAAATCAAATGATTTATACTTGATACATCAAAAAAGTGGAATTGTATCGATATCGATTGGTTAAACGTATACATATAGCTTCAAATAGATAGGAGTATTGTGTGGGTAGGTTTTTTTTGTGAAAGATGTTTTATTCTTTTGAGTACCATGAGGCAATGAAAAGTAAGATTGTTAGGGATTTTTTCTTTCTCAGCTTTTCTTACTTAAATCCTAAAATTTTTGTTTGAGGTTGTGTTCTATTGTTTTGAACCAAACGATCCACTATCGAACCACTATCGAATACGATCCATTGTTTCAAATGAAAATTTGCAACGTTGTAATATCATTAAGCCCCTTTACCACCTCAAATGGTCGCTCCTTTGATGTTAGGGCGTATCTCAATTTCCACTTGAACCCTGTTTTACATGTAAATCCATGCTATCTGGGGGTCATGTAGAAATCAAGATACGCCTTATGTCAGAGAAGCCAAGAGAAGCGACGAATTATACAATTCTAATTAGATCTGGCGATCTATCAACTTATGCAGGTATAACGCACTGTAAATAGATTGTTTGTTGTCATTCATATTCATCTTGGATGGATACCACCATTTTTACCTTAGAATCTTCATGATAAACAAATATTGTTGCCAAGTCTTTTTATTCGATGAGATGGTGAAGCAGGGGGTTTTAATCATCTTTTTCGATTCGCCATAATAAAAACAAAATTATCACTCGCTTTTCAAAAACATCCGAATTTTAGAGCCGAGTCAATTTTGCTTCCTTTTTACGTAATAGGGAAAGGAAATTGCGCTTATTTTGCGGTTGTAGAGCTCCTAAATTCATGACAAATTTACACATTTCAAAAGTAATATTTTGAAAAAATAGGTTTTAAGGTTTGTAAAGTTTGCGAATGCTTAAAAAATTGTATTTAAAAAAATCTAATGTCACGAAAATTATTGACGAAATTCTGATCCGATATTTGGGCAACTTTCAAGTATAATGTAACGTACTATCCTTTTTTATCCTTTTGTTACAGACTTGTAACAGAATTTATTTCTGAATTACATGACTGAAAGCAAGTTGTTTCTGTTCCTACATTTCCATCGGTTTTTCGACGAAATATACACTGTCCGGAAATGCATTTCTCACCCGGTAATTGAATAGTTTTAGGTAAAATTATTACATAACGCTAGCGGTAGGCCCCGAACCTTCCTAACCCAACATACCATAACGCAGACTCAATTCACACCCCTCCTATCTCTTCTACATACATCACGTAATACAGTAACAGCTCGTTAAATCGAATTGTATAGGGACCGAAATAAATTTCGACTTAAACGGCAATTCGTCTTATCCGATTCTCCACTTAACTTATGGCTTATCTGGGGGCCGAAAAAAATTCGACTTAATCGGCAATTTGTTTTAACCGTAGTTCGCCTTAGCGAGCTTTTACTGTACCTAAATACCTTTAAAACAATTGAAAAGTATTTGCGCCTCTGAGGAAATGACCCTGGTAAAAATTGGCGATAGGAGCTGCGTTTCAAAATACCATAGGAGTTCTTAAAGCCGACTGAAGAGGGCGATAGAAAATCATATAGCTGGCTGTAGAAAGTGGCAAAAATCATACGGCCGGGCTACACGAAGCGATAAAAAATTGTACAGCCGGGCTATAATTCCTATCGCCGGGCTATAGTTCCTATCGCCGGGCTATAGTTCCTATCGCCGGGCTTTACTCTTTATCGCCTGGCTGTTCCTTTTTCGCCATCGGATATAAAAGGCTATAAGAAATTGTGTGGAAATTCTTGTGCTTTGTAAATCCTTAAGTTTGAACGGAATCACCTTAATATTTACAAAACGCACATTATATTTTCCTTTACTATACATATTTTTTTCATAAATTAAAATGAGGATAATCCATACAGAGTGTGCAAACATTTCAAAGTCATGAGTTGAAAAACGCTGACTCCGCGAGATTAAATATTAGAGCCTAGCACAAAGCGGAGCGGCGGCGCACTGGCGCCTACAAACCTAACAGGGATACTTCACACATTGCGCAATGCGTGAAGTATCCCTGTTGGGTTTGTAGGCGTCAATGCGCGTTCAGCGCTGGCTGCCCGCCCGCCGCGCCGCGCCGCGCCGCAGCGTACCGCGGCGCTTGAAGCAACTATTTCGCACCAGAGGTATTGCACAGTATCATACGAAATTGAAGGCGCTCCAACATATTAGGAATGGCAGGCATCCTTCAAAAGTACGGAGCTTTCCTCGCAAATAAAATCAAGATACTGCTGCCCAAAAAGAGAGCGGTAGTCCAAAAACTCACTAAGTCCTAGCATCCGTAATTAATAACGTTTAGCATACAGTTTACTGCCAGGCTGTTGCTTAGTCGCCATCGGCTATAAAAGGCTATAAGAAATTGTGTCGCCGGCTATAGAAGCTATTGGAAATCTTACGGCCGGCTGTAGTTCTATGGTATTTTGGAACACAGATTCTACTGCCAATTTTTACCAGGGGACTTACAACGTAGGGAAATACTCTCAGAGCGTTTACGAGGCTGTTAGAAAGTTCCAGAAACTCGATGAAAAATTCAAGAAAAGCCTGTGTTTTGGATTTTAATAGTGAATCATTTTACATTGAGGTTACGCATCCATCATATAATCGGAGTCATCGGCAAAAATAATAAAGCATTTTAAGTAGACTGTTATATAAAAGATGTAGGATACCTGCGTGATATATATTTACATCATGAGAATGATTCAACTCAAAAAAGTAGTAGCCATAATTTAGAAGATTTTTTTTCTAGGAGTAATCGACAATTTGTCAACTATGGATGTACGCTCCGACATTAACTACTCTGACGTCTATATGTGCTATACCTGTGCCGGGTTTTTCCTGGTTACTTTATAACCTGGTGGCGGTAGTATTTCGGAAGCATCCGAGACAACAAGTTGCTGGCAGCGTTAGTCAGTTTTAAGGCTCAAATTCATCAAGGAAAAGCGAAACGAGTAAGTATCCTATATATTAAAATGCAAAGTTCCAAATCTTGGGGCATTAACTTTGAGAGAACCACCGGACCGATTTGCGTGATCTTTTTTTTAAATGAAAGCCCCTGAGCTGCAGATTTGCAGGCTGTGATCGTTTTTTCGATTATCTCAAATTTTCTCCCATAATTTTCTCAAATTTTCTTCGATGCATTAAAACGGAGGTCCGAATCTTTGGACGTTAACTTTNGCTAGTACTTGTGAAAATACTACAACCGTAGTTTTTAGAATATCTGTTTATTGTACTGAAAAAATAAGTTAATTGCAATTATTTCATCAACTGTTTGGTTTTTATAATTTAATTTCTCCAGGGCCCAATTGTGTCTTTTTTTTAAATATTACATTTTTGTCATTTTTACTGCTTATTACGATTACAGATCTTCCTTAAATTTTCTCTCAAGATTAAGTTTTTGAAGTCGAGCGCGATGATTTTTCAATCACAGAGATAATAGAACGTGATGGGAAATAAGTTTGGCAAAATGAAGGTATACATAAGCGGTGTTTTATTTTATTTTGTTTCTGTTTCGCATACTTCATTGGAGTTTTTCTTGTAACTTTGCCCAACCGGAACTAGATAAAAATTGCGATTAACTGCAAATTTTGAATGTTCGTAAGTGTTTACGTTGTAAAGATTATTCAAACTTCCCGCTCCTTAAGGAACCGTAGAGATTCTTGTGAACTTTTCAGTAAATTTTTTCTACGTCATCAAACAAATGTCTTGATATATGTATGATATACCCTCACAGTTGTTTTCCAGTAAAAATTATGAAGATTGTCCAATTAAATTTGGCAAGTAGCTCGAGTCACTTACCTAGCCTCCACTTCGCGAAATGTTGCTTAGGTGGTTTCCACGAAAGTGGAACCTTTGCGAACTCCATGACAAGATTTTAAAAAAGTTATACTTTTTTGGAAAGTGTGATATAGAATCAGAGGTGCACACAATTTCAGATGTGCTGTCTTTTTATTTGACCCAAAGATACAAAGTGAATTAAGCCTTTTACGTTAGCCCATATCGATAGTGAAACTGCAGAAATACTTATCTCGGTTCGCAGTGGTGCAGGCTTTTCAACATACTTATTTCTTTACGTCGAAAACTAATAAACGTCATTTTTTGAAAACTCCGGTGATTTTCCTTATTTACTTGAAGAATATTCTGTGAAAATTTGAATCAATGATGTCAGTCTGGCTTCCCCCTGAAAATAAAACAGGAGCGGAGATTTTGAAACTCTGCACCGAGCTATGCGTTTTTGCAGGTTCACCGTCGAAATTGATCATCCCTTTCAAATAACCCCGTGAGCTCTCAGAGAATATTATTTTTAAAAAAAATACTCTTAGTCCAGGCGCCTGGTAGCTAAAAATGAGGCTACCTGGAATTTTGGGTACACAGCGATTTTGTTGACTTACTTTATGTTTTTTGGATCGCTGAATCCGAATCTGAAGTTTCCTACCGCGTATCTGGTGAGCGTTTTCCGCCATTTTGAAAAAATGGTTTGCTTAAAAATTGAGGAAAATACAGCATCGTGAACATCGCGCCCATTCACGTTTTCGCCGCGCACCCGTCAACGCGCGATCCAGCTCGCCGCGGTCAGCCAAGTTCCGAAGCGTTCCAAAGTTCCGAGATCCGAGGCTTCTCAATTTTTGGGCAAACCTAGCATATTCATATACCATTTTCTTCCATATTTTGTCAGCTTTTCAAAACATTAACTAAATCCGGGACTTTTTCTCATGCGTAGCCGCTATGTAATAAAAACCGCAAAAAAGGCCTTTTTAGGCCATTTTTTCAAAATGGCGGAAAATGCTCACCAGATACGCGGTAGGAAACTTCAGATTCGGATTCAGCGACCCAAAAAACATAACGTAAGCCAAAAAAATCGCTGTGTACCCAAAATTCCAGGTAGACTTACCAGGCGCCTGGACTATCTGTCAACCTGAACACTGCGTGCACTTAATAGGGCATTCATAATGGCGTAGGTACCTTTTTCCTTTTTGGTCCCTATCTCCTGGAAAACTTGTCGAATCATCAATAATTAATTTAGCTAATAATTGATTTAACAAAGTCTTCTAGGAGATCGGGACCGAGAAAAGAGGGTGTGCATGACAAAAAGAAAGCCTTACTTTTTCGCTTGAACTATTACGTAAAAAAAAGACCTGAAAGAACAAAAATTAAAGCTCCTGTTTTATGTTCATTTTCTTTGTTTTTCTACATTTACCTTTTCTTTCCAGAGAGATGAAATATTTCAAAATGTCCTGCGTTGTACTTTTGATGGCGGCTTTTTGCGGCACCTCTTCAGTCGAGGGAACGAAAACTGGTAGCTGTCCTGACGTCAAATCAGACGGTCAACAAGTAGGTGGCTGTGCAATCATCTGTTCGATGGACGAATCTTGTCCTGCTAACTTAAAATGCTGCCGCAACGGGTGCGGTGGGACGAGCTGTACGAACCCTGTTTACTAAAAAAAAGAAGAAAAGAAGAAAAAAACGCCTATGCTACAATCAACACATAAATTATCGGAGACTTTATGTATACCTGGTTGCTGCTNCCTTTAAGGCGGCTTTACCAAAATGACTTTTTTCTTTATGAAAAATCAAATTTTAAAAAGTGGGATGAACTTTTGGAAAGGAAATTAAACAGTACTTAAATATACTTTTTTCAAAATATCAACATTTGACTGGCTTGGAAGACAAGGCGCATAAGGGCAGATTTTGCTATTTCGAGAAACATGTGTTTGAAGTTTCAAAATTACATGGATCCTAATGGCGGAGAGAAAATTCAAACTGATTTTTTGATGCTTAAAAATTGGAATTCGGGAGCGAATTTTTCACAGAATATGCACTAAGACTGGTTTTACTTGAGATCATAAATATCTCAATCTCTTAAAAAAACTGCAGTTATGCGCCTTGTCCTCCGAGGCTCTCATTTGTAGAGACGTAAAAGAAGTTTATTTTTTCTAAAAAATCAAGATATAAAGTATTTATTTTTCAAATCATGTCAAAAGCTGGTAATAATGAGACGCGGGGATGGGGTGTATATCCGTCATTAAGTAATTAAAAAAGGGGGGTCGAATGCGTCACAAGAGGAGAGGGACAAGAGGAGCATCATGCTATTCATGACTGCTCCTTGGCCATTCGATGTCTGAATCTCGGTACGTTACATAGCAATCTCCCTATCTCGACTCCTAAAATTTCACATAATTTGTACTGTTCCTCTCCACAGATATTTTCTCAGAATTCCTGGTTTAGTTTGTTTTATAGTTTTATCAATTCAATTTGTATAACACTGGGACAAAAGTATAGTTGAAAGTGCCCCCCCCCCCAAATCATAGACACGGGCGAAACGCCCAGATTGTGAAGTAAAGCTTGTTGCACCTAAGTCAATGTGTGTTCTCAATTGGGTATATCAGTGGTGTCTTGTGAGGTCAGAATTCCGAGAGAGAATATTTAATAATTTTCATTGTAATTGTTTTTCATTTATTCATTAGCTACAATTTTTGTTCCTTCTTTCCTGTAAACCTGCCTCTTATTTCATGTGAGCCGTATGATTTATTTCATTATTTTGATGGAGTATCTGTGCACATTGTATATTCTACCTGTATTAAATACGTTACCTACATGAATAAAAATAAATCCTATTTTCATCGACGTTTTGTTCTGTTGAAACCGTAAAATTTTTACTATATTTTAAATCCAACCAAACATAGGAAAAATTTCTGTTCAATCAAAGTTTACAAAATATTTGACGAGGATGTTATTAGTTCTTTTTCCTTTATAGGAAATGCAAGGATTGTGACACGCTTATTTCTTTGCTAGTGATTATGGTAGGTGAACTTTTTCTGTGGTTTTTTAGGTCGAGAAGGAAGCGAATTAAAGGTGCTTTACCCCGTATTGACTAAAGCAATACTACCTTCTAAGCATTTTAGCGATGAGAAGAATCTGGGGGAAAACGAAAATAAAAATTATTTTCCTGACCTAAATTTTGGGCTTTTTAACCTCGGTCACTATTACATCACGAGAAAATCTATAAGTTCTTATCCAAGTTTTTCGGCATGTATAGGTGCTACAGCGTTCAGTTCTCACCAAGGTTGCTTGTCAAAGATAAATTCCCCACCAACTTCTTGTTAACAAGTGTAAAACTCCTAATACCCAGTTTAAATTTATCAGTTTCGGACAGCGCCGTGCAAAGTTTTGTATGAGTGTGGAATCTTCACCTGAAATTTGCTATTGTCTCGGTAACTCTCTCCCTTTTGCTCTTTTCCTCGCTCTACAAGGCTTTTTGAAAAAGCGTTACGGACACGGTTTACATAGAAAGTGTAACAATTGTCTTACCTCTCGCCTCCAAAAAAGGAACTGAATAGTAAGTTGACGGTCTCATCATTTCACTAATCAAAGGTCTCAGGGGGCTCAGAAAAATATCTTAATACTGACTCTGAAACTAATGAACTTCTGAAAATGTGTGTGAAAAAGAAAATTTTTGAATGTTAAAGCCAATTCTTTTCCTGCAAAATTTGAAGGATTGTGATTCCTAAAAAACATTGGAGGCGGATCATTTATTTTCCACTGTAGGTATACTTTAAAACAAAACATACAGTCATGCCCATCTTATTATGAAAGCAATACTGGAAATAAAGACAAATAGCTGATGTTGATGGTTTCAGACAAGCAACTTCTAGGCATGTATGAATAAAACGAGTATTATTCGAGTGGATCACTTTTGTTGCATATTGTGTAGAGGACATCCTCTGACGTGAAGCCTTAATATATAAATGAACATAAATAAATGGGAAAAAAACAGAGGTATCTTTTTATGAAGTTTCTGGTTCCGTTTTTTCTCTTGCTCTGCTGATATCTTAAGTGTTCTTGACAGAAAATTCCCTTTTTTATTCTTTTTTACGTTTCTTTAGAAGTAAACTCTCTGGTAAAAATTGGCGATATGAGCTGCGTTTCAAAATACCATAGGAATTCTTATAGCCGGCTGAAGAAGGCAACAGAAAATCATATAGCTGGCTGTAGAAAGCGGAGCAAATCATACAGCCGGGCTATACGAAGCGATAAAAAAAGTATGCAGCCAAGCTGTATCTCCTATAGCCGGGCTTTACACTTTATCGCCATCGGCTATAAAAGGCTATGATAAATTGTGTAGAAATTCGTGCGCTTTGGAAATCATTAAGTTTGATACGGAACCACCATAATATTTACAAAACACACATTATATTTTCCTTTAATACATATTTTTTTCATGAATTAAAATGAGAATAATCCATACAGGATGTGCAAACATTTTAAAATCATGGGTTGAAAAACGCTGACTCCGCGCGATTATACATATATTGGAGCCTAACACAGAGCGGAGCGGCGTGCTGCCAGAGTTAAGCGCGCACTAGCGCCTACAAACCTAACAGGGATACTTCGCGCACTGCGCAATGCTTGAAGTATCTCTGTTAGGTTTGTAGGCGCTAATGCGCTTTTCGCGCTGGCTATACCCGCCCGCCGCGCCGCAGTGTGCCACGGCGCTTGAAGCAACTATTTCACACCAGAGGTATTGCAGAGTATCATACGAAATTGAAGGCGCTCCAACATATTAGGAATGGCAGGCATCAAAAGTACGCAGCTTTCCGCGCAAAATAAATCAAGATACTACGGCCTAAAAAGAGAGCGGTAGTCTAAAAACTCAAGAAGTCCTAGCATCCGTTATTAGTAACATTTAGCATACACTTCATCGCCTGGCTGTTGCTTAGTAGTCCATCGGCTATAAAAGGCTATAAGAAATTGTGCATCCGGCTATAGAAGCTATTGAAAATCTTACAGCCGGCTGTAGGTCTATGGTATTTTGGAACACAGATTTTACTGCCAATTTTTACCACGGCTTCAAGGAACTGATAAAGCATCTAAAACAATGAATGAAATTGAAGTAGATATGATGCTCAAAACTTAGTGGAGCTAAAATTTCAGTCAGTGAATTCACTCCGCAAGCGCAGCCTATTTATTTATCTATATGGATTGGTAAAAAAAAGATCATTATATAATTTAAAGGGCGAACACAAAAATGTTTATGAGAAACAGTAAATATACGTCGCGAACGGATAAAAATAATTTTTTAGAAAAAAATGTTGACACTTGTTTCTTTTCAATTATTTGTTACAGAGCTATGAAATACTTCGGAATTTTATGCGGAATAATCTTGATAGGGGTCCTACTTGACAGTTTCTCAGTGAAGGCTGAGAAGGCAGGATATTGTCCCCCGGCTGAGGTAGACGCTATGGGAGGCTGTCCAGACCAATGCTCCGACGATTATTCTTGCAAGGGTGTTTCCAAGTGCTGCAAAACCATTTGCGGATTATCGTGTCAGGAACCAATGAATCATCCTGATTCCTGACCAAATTTTCATCGAGTTGACACAGTTCCATGCCGGGTCAGCCTTCGCTGTGCATGAGCAGAGAAAAGATACTGGAATCAATAGGCTAATCTCCTCGACTTCAGAAAGGACACGCCACGCTAGAAGCGCAAAAATGATATTCAGTTAGTTTGATACTCCCGCGCTTCCGAAATAACTAAAAGCAAAGTAAGTCAAAGTAGCCACTGAAAAGAAACATACTGTTGGCCGGTACTAAGTGTAATTGGTTGAATTTGCACAAAAATGAGTTCTCTTCTCTGATATGCCGATTGCCAAAGTAAACCACATAGGTATCTCCATGTGCAACTTTGCAGACTTACTGTCATACTTTATATTTTCCTGGGAAAATTATAATTAACGTAGCCTCCAGAAAACTGTCCATGATTCTGTGTAAATTGCAAGCTGTGAAGTTGGCTTGTTTCTTTTCGAAAATATTAAATAGAAGCGGAAATGTTGCAACACCGCAATTGAGATGTATAATTTCCACAAATTCGTGATATGATAAATTCCGAATTTTGGTTTTTTCGCCGGTGAAAAAGTTTGAATTTGCTGACTTAAAAGCTCTGATTTCTGACGTAGAGACTTGAATTGTATAATTTCTACCTTATTGTACAAAAATGTTGATAGGAATATACATATATTTAGACGCTAAATGATGATCCTTTGTCCTGTCTTTATCTTCCTTTTAGTAACCTAAGCTGAGGCTGTTGTTACTTGTCATAGAACAAAGAGAAAATAAGAGCTGGCATTGAATAGGAAAAAACATAGGCATAGGGCATAGGGAACAGGCATATGCCCATGGCATGGGGGGGGGGGAGCTTCCCGCGGCTTGCTTTCCAGCCAATCAGACCCCCGACACACAGTGGATCGCATCAATTAGAGAGGTCGGACATGAAATGTTTGACTAAAACAAAAAAATTTGATGTTTATTTCGTCACATTTTAAATTTTAAGGGGTGCTGCTGAAGGAAAATTTCACGAGAAAACCAATGGAACCACCTTGAGAACCTCAAAGTTTTGTATACAGAGAGTTATGAGCGTTTAAAGTTTCTAAATTTTGTCTGACCTCTTCTATTGACTCGATCCACTGTGCGACGACCACTTTCGAATTCCTCATGGAAAATAACATGGGAAATCGAAACAGTGTGTTTTTTTTTAATTCAGTCAGTGTTTCGGCAAGAATATATCCACGACTGACTGTTCGCGAATCTGTCGTTTCGATTGATGTATACAACATGCCACTTTATCCAAAAATGAAGATGCTTTTCCCCTATTCGATGCGCGAGCTCTTATTTTCTCTCTTTCACGAAAGTACGTCCATTTTGGGGTGAAATGTATGAGAAATATACGAGGAAAATCAACTAATGCAAGAGGGAAATACATTTATAATGGTAACATTTAGAACAAGGAGATAGGGCTTTTCAATAAATACTCATTTTTGTCAAACTGATCTGAAATGACCAGATTCAATTAGTTTTCTCCTTGATGATTTCGCGTTGAACACAGTGCGGCCGACGCGACACGCGGCGCGGGGCTGGCGCACACGGCTCTAGACGCATAGTAGCGCCTTACAAGACCGCAGGATACTTCATGCATTGCGCGTACAGTCGGTGCGCGCAACGCATTGTACAGCGCTTTACAAGTCTGTAGGAAACTTCATGCATTGAGTGTATACCACCCACGGGGCGATGGGGCGCGCTCAGCTAAAGTCGTCGAAAAGTCAGGAATAACCTAATTATTTAATCATGCTAGACGCACTATCTACCGCCGCATACCCTCAGACTGTGTATTTCTTTCGAACGCATGAATAAAATTCTATTACATGGGTTACCGTGTTGTTATTGCTATATTTTTCAACTAATATACTCGGTGATATTCTGAAAAAACGGAGTCGCTATAGTTATAGAACTCGACAAAGATTGTTACAGTCAAAAATAATTCTACACCAAGGTGATTTCTGATTCAATTCGAAAGCTTAAACTTTATTAAGTTTAGGCACCATACACGGAAAAAAATGGATGACTGATTTAATAATTAAACTGTCAAAAAATATATCCGACATTTTTCAAAAGTACGTTTTAAAATAATAGATAGTGTACAGCTAATTTCACTACGGGGATGGTGGATTTTAAGTAATTTTTTATTTACATTTACATACAGCGTCCGCCATTTTTGGGTTCTAAGAGCTCCATGAAGCTCAAGACGGAGGAGCCAATCAAAACTCATAGCCACATGGCGATACTCACTCTATCAAGGTACTCTAGCCATGTCTCTCGTTGCCGCCGAGTAAACATTTTAGCTCGAGTCCCCATTTTAACTTCCATCGCACACAAAATTAAACGTTCCTAGACATCTTATTTTAAATACGGTTGCAAAATGTATCGAAAATAGTCAAGTTCTCAAGGTCTGGCTTGAATATGAGTGTGAGTGAACTATCGAAACGATATGCCATAACGATTAAAAATAATTTTTTGTCATAGAATTTCCTTTCAAGTGAGCAACGAAGCATATGAATTGCCTGCAATTGAATGTTAAGCAAGTAGATACAGTAATAGATTTGCAGGTACAAACTGTTGCACCGGTAGAAATCTTGTGGAAATTTTAATTACCTACCGAGAGAATGGTGAATGATAAAAAAAAATTTAGGGTACTTTTCAGTTTCAATAGCCAAAAGTGCATAGGATACGTCTCATCAGACATTTAGAACAAAACTTTAGCTCTCGTTCACAGACCCATAGCAAACGTATAAATTTTACAGTGCTTGCCGTGCTTATCGAAATTCCTTCATTTGGGAGGGTATGCAAAATCATCTCCGGAGAGTTAAAATAGTTGCTAGAGATAAACGCGAGCCTTCGGTAACGCGAAGCAGGCGGCACGACTCATTGGCAGCTCAACGCGACGCCCGCCCTATACTGCCGTGCTATGGAAAAACGCCGTATGTGCCTTCAGGCGTTGCCAAATTTCCTTTAATAAATCACGAATTTTCAGGAAAATTTTTGAATATTTGTCAATCAATTTGATCTGATAATTTTGTATGTAATTTGATCTAAAGCTTCTGAAAATGTCGAGGAAAAATATTCAACATTTTCCTCAAAAATAAACATTTTATCGAGGGAAATTTGGCAACTCCTGATTGTTCATACGGCGTTCTTCCTTAGCACGGCAGTATAGGTCTATACAGGTAAGACCGGATCAACTCAAAATGTTCTTTATTTTGCGGTGTAGGTGGTTTGATCTCCGGGGATTGAAACAGGCGGAAGTTTTTTTTGAAACTTGAGCACGGATTATGAAAGATCATTTGGACTGCATTTTGCAATTTGGAACTATAAATTCTGGCCCGGTTTAAAAACAACGTATGTGCCTTTAGTTTCCCTATGCACATAAGTGTTTTTTTGGATGAGACAGAATTTATAGCTCCAAATTGCAAAATTCAGTCCATTTAGCACTGATTCCGAAAATCCCTTCCATTTCCCCAACTAAAGCATCGACAATTTATAGGTATCATATCCGATTGAATTTGTCAGAGGTATGTCTGATCATAGTTATTGCACAAAATCTTCTGGGATTTTTTCCCCCGCAGGTTTATTCGCTTACGTTCCGTTAGGAGCCTGCAGCCATCAGGCATGTCCATGTGATGGCTTTTCAAATTTACTTTCACCAGAATATTTTCGCCTTAAACGTTTAACAGATGAGTCTCTGAAAACATGAAATGAACCAATGAACGCATGGAAATTTCGGACCGCTTTTATTTTACTTACTGGTTTCTTTAGGCCCAAAAACACGGTCGCCAAAATTTTGCAGTATATTTTTCAGCCAAGTTAAAATCCGCCCATTTGATAAAATAATCTTCTTGTCTTACAAACTGACGTAGCTAATTATATGATATTATAACGTTATAAATGACCTTTAAATATACTCAGTAACAAATAAAAATTAGACTGAAAGGGGGGTCGACTTTTCTGAATGCCTCATAACGTACAATCTGTAGAATTCCAACATTAGTGTTGTATTCATCCTTATCGTTTGTAAAGACGCTCAGTTATTCCGGGCCCGCAAATTTAAAAATTCCCGCTCTTTTAGCTTCAGATCACTTGAGATTTAGTATTGAGCCGTCAGAGAGCGGTGCATCTCTTTCTCACGCTTTCGTCAGTCGGCGCGAGAACGCCATTTCTTTCACACGGGGTTCTTCTTGGTTTTGGCAAAAGCCTCCTCGCGTACTCGGTGTTATTATTATCCAATTATTTCCTTCGTTTTTACCGCTTATCAATTAGAAATTTAGTAGTCATGACGGTCGAGGAAGAAGTTGTGAAAATTCAAAAGAAACTCAATAAAATGTCAGCCGCAGAAGATGGATCTGTAAGTATTTTGAATCCTGACCCCACCGTGTTTGTGTACATCAGTTTGTTTCCACCGAGATAAGCGTTTAGTTCTCTTTAGAATATACCGTCAGTTTAACGGCTCATTATGCTTTTTCGTAGAATGTTCTCTCGGTTTGATACTAATTTTGCACGCCACTGTTGTCTCATTACCAAGGTATCCTCGGTCTCATCAGTCCTTCTTTTTGAGGTTATGCCTGTGAGGAACAGTTGAAATGTTTTTTTTTAAATTGTCAATTTTTTCGTAGCGCAATATTGAAATTCATCTGTATCACTGCGCTCTATTTTTCCTCTGGTCCTTCAGTTGAAGCTTTGCCTATGTGGGGCATTTGTTCATTACTAACGAAAGGCCCTTAGTCCTTAGTGGGAAGTTTGTTGCTCTATTCGTTAAGTGAGAATCGCATTCCGGTCAAGCAGTTTCTAGCTTTATTGGCGGCTGTGTGTTGGTTTATCTGTAATGAGCAGGTTTTCTTGTAATTATTGTGCTGAATGTTAAGTAGCAAAGAAAGACATGACTCCATTCCAGAGATTGGAACATGTTAATTGAGGAAGTCCCGATGTACTTAACATTTATACCTTACAGATGCTACTAGTGGCGATGACACTAAAGAGATTCTTTGTTATATCAAATTTGATCCTAGCCACAACAATGGCATAACCTCTTTTAATACTGCCAATGAGAATAAACTATTATATCGATAGCCAAAGTACCTAACCACGTATCTCTGTTTGCGACGTTGCAGACTTTATGTCAAACTTCACGTCTCCTTGAAAAACTAGTCCAGATAATTCATCCATCTACCATGCTCCTCGTGAACTATTCTTTTCCCAGCAGTTCATCTTTGAAGAAAAGGTGTTTTTTAATAAACACAGTATGTCCCCAAAGATCATTGAATTTTACGGCACCCAAGGCACTTGCCAGGGTGTCTACAAGTCCGGAAATAGTACTGATTTTTTGAAGGTGGTCTTGAAGTACTGAAAAATGCGGAAATTCCGCCAGAAGGTCCGGAATTTTTTTCATTTTTTTGTCACTTTTGTCTCAATTTGAGCGAAATTTAAATTTTTTAAATTTTGTCAATAATTGGAAGCACTGTATAAGTACTGATTTTTGCATAGCCTGTTTTAGTAGACACCGTGCACTTGCGCATACGATAATATTTTTATTTCTTTCTTTTTACAACAGGGCCAGGAACAAGCTTTGGATCTTCTTCGAGCTCTACAAGAACTGCCTGTTACACTTGAAATCTTGACTAAGACGAGAATCGGTATGACTGTAAATGCTCTACGAAAATCAAGTAACGACGAAGAGGTAATGAGTCTCTCCAAGGTGCTCATAAAGAATTGGAAGAAATTCTTATCAGGTAATCATTTGTCTCTGCATCTTCAATCCTTTCTCCGGTCTAAATATAGAGCTAACTTTGTTGCATTGGACATTTCTGTCTCTAGTCTTCTGAATGTGAAGGATTCGAAATGTGCGGTGTGATGTAGCGGTTGTACCGCTGGTCTTTTTTATTTTCGGGCAGGTAACCTGAGTTTGATCGTCTTGGGCAACTGGGGATATGTGTAAGGGGTCCAGGGGATCAAGCAAGGAATGGGCCAGTTGAAAACTTTTGCTAGAGCAAAAATAAGATTATTTCTTATAGATAATGCCTCAAAAATCACGATGAGAGCATCGGCAAAGTCTGAAATGCGCTCACAACTTCACAATCTGCGTCAGAAATTTGCGGTTTTTTGAGCTTTCGTCTTGTATTCCGTATCAAAATCTACTTTCTATCTCAACCAAGCAACCAACTTTGGCTTTGATCTGAGCATTTGGATTAGGGCTTTCTTGTTTGGCCTTCTATGTTTGGATGGAGGAAACAACACTACAAAAAGTAGGACTGCATTGCATGAATCAAAATTGTGGAAAGTGGCAGAAAATTTTGATCGAATGACCAAAGCTTCTTAACTTTAGTTGAGTCATTTTTTTTTTGCATTTTGCAACCCTGCATTTTCTGTGTTATTTCCTAATGGGACGCCTCTAATTGATTAAAGTTTCTTTTTCAGGTCCCAACAATTCCGCCAGCAAAGATAACACTCCTAGCAGTTCAGCCAAGAAAGCAAAGGAAAAAGATGAAAAACCTAAAGATGTTGAAATGAAAGAAGAAAAGAAGGAAAATAAAGACAAAGGAAAGGCTTCAGTAGTTTCATTTGGTTCATCAAATAGTACTCATGATGCTGTCCGTTTGAAGTGCAGAGAGCTTCTTTGCAATGCCTTGAAAGTAGAAGGCAATGGTAAGCCACTATTTTCTCTTCTATTTGAGAATATGATCTACTTCTCGAGTCCTTGGATTCATATTAGAAGAAAAGTGGAAGAAATTTTGGACTATAAAAATCCATAAATACAAACAACAAACATGATCACATCGAAAGTGATTTTGGTTTCTCTTGATTAAAACAAATATGTCGACAGTGTAAGTTGGCCTAATTCGTTTTCGGTGTCTGAAAATCTCTGCTTGGTATGTTATTTTTTTAAAGGAGAACAAATTGACATCATTCCCTGAAGTTTATGCAGAATTTTCTATGCACAGAGAAGAAAAAGCATGGCAGTTTTCAAAGTATGACAGGAAGTCTACGACGTCGCAAACCGAGTTATGTGATTGCCAACTTACACCGTCGAAGTAGCAAAATTCATAGCGTGACCCTAAAAAGAAAAGATCAATGCACTCATCATGAAGGGGAAGAGGGAGCAAGTTTCAAAGCTGGTAGATATGGCTGAAAAGCACTGTGGGTAACACTAAAAGAAGATATTCATGTTTTTCAATCCATAAATCCCCATTTCTCACTCATAAAAATCCACTTGAGTTTAATCGAGCACCAGACGTTCCCGTAAGAATCTTGGCAGTGAAAAAATATGACGATCTCTCAGTTCAGCCATTGCATGTTGTTTACTCTTTGATCATCACAGGGTGAGAAAGGAGCACTGCCCATAGACGTTATTAGTGCCAAGTCACAGAAAAGCAATATGTATCGATTTTTTCGCATTAGTAGCATTGAAAGAGGTTATGCCAATGTTATTGTTTCGATCCAGTTTGATATAATGGAGAATCCCTATGATGTCGTCGCCACTAATAGAGTCTATTGAGAAGCCTGTCAAAATTGCTGTAGTGCTTGATTTGACTCAGGTCGACTAAGGTTTTTCTTCTAAGCTGAATATTCACATTTTTTGTGACCAATGCTTCATATAAATATTAATATCTTTGGTGGGCATTAATTTCAGTAATTTTCGTTACGCACATGTTGTTCTACGTACAATTTTGAAGAGGAAACACCTATCATATTCTTGTGATCTGTTTCATATCTAGTGATCCATTCTTGCTAACCTCTTTGAATTTAGCCTCATATATGACAATTGCTCAAGCCTTTATTTACAATATCTTTAACACAACACAGTTTAATGTTTTTAGCTTTTGTTAAATTTTTGTCTCAACCTTTGCATCCATGCAGCTGCATCCTATTTGTATTTAGAGTTGTGTCTTACTTATGTTTTGCATGTAATCTCCATTCTTGTGCCATTTTCATATTTTTTTAATTTCCTTTCTACCATGTTAATCCCTCTTATATATTTTCAAACAACAGATATAGATTCTTGTGCACCCATCGAGGACCTTTCTGAAGAATTAGAAGAAGCAATTTTCCAAGAATTCAAAAACACGGATAATCGATACAAAAACAGAGTTCGTAGTAGAGTTGCTAACCTGAAAGATGCCAAAAATCCTCAGCTGAGGAACAACTTTTTATGCGGTGCAATTTCTGCTACCAGATTAGCTACCATGACTGCAGAAGTAAGTTCATTTTTATGTCTCTCAACTGACGAGAAGGTTTTAAAGTGGCAAAAACCACTGTTCTCAGTTCATCTAATGCCCCTTGCTAAATTTAAAAATCACTTAAAATTTTGGCAGTTGCAATTATGAAAGTAGTCCATGTACATTCCGACCCGAATCCTGCTATATTTCATCCAATTTTACCATTACCCCAGCTAAATAAAATGACCCTGAGGGTAATATGGTTTGCGGGATTTGCTTGTACATGGCTTTGTTTTAAGTCTAAAGAGTAATTGGTTTTGCACTATTTCACGTAATGTTTTTGAACACAATGTCACACATTGTTTCATGAATTACATGCTCACACCAAAAATTTTGTTGGAACTGGCAGTCAGTTTCTAAAACCACAGACCTGCAGAAATTGTAACTTTTTATGACCCTAAATGAGTGAAAAAAGAACCATATGCGTAATTTTACCCCTTTTATCCTTTTAAAAGTGATGAACTGGCCTTTCCTATCAGTATAAAAATTTTTATGAGTTTCTCGGCAATACTGCGTTTTAGTAGTTCTTTATTTTTCTTTCTTTTTTTTCGGTTGTGGCCGAATTCTTGAGAATAGTTGAAATGTCATTAATGATGATAATTTAAACTGCAAGATCGAATCACAAGATTCAATTTGTCATCCTTTAAACTGTACCACAGCCTCAAAAAACATACGGATCCTCTACAAAAAAAAGTCAGGATCTATGCTATCAACATTTCAACATCCCTTTTTTTTTCTTTCAGGAAATGGCTAGTGATGAAATGAAACAGTTAAGAAATAAATTCATTAAAGAATCAATTGACGATGCCCAGCTAGCTACCGTGCAAGGCACTAAAACTGATCTCCTTAAATGTGGTAAATGTAAGAAGCGCAACTGTACTTACAACCAGGTATGTTATTCAAATCCAAGTAAATATTCTTTATATGATTATTCCCATGCTTAAGTTCTCATATTCACTTTCATACCCTAGAAGATGGCATTCTTGGTTGAAGCTTAAAGCACTTTATTTCAGGTTCCTAACATGGTCGAACTGGCATGCAATATTTCGCACCGATTAAGTAAAAAGTCCGGGCTGATTTTGAATTCCTAGCCCTACAAATGGATGATTGCCCCTGACATGAATCTGATGAATCATTCTTGACAAAAAATTGCAAATATTGGAGAAATGAAAATAGGATTTGGCTATGGGTAAAATACTGCATTGATACGGCAAGCGATCTTTGTATCAAATGCAATATTTCTTTTTAGCTTTTTTCCCTCCAATTTTTGGCATTTTTTTGGTGTTGAAAATGACTCTTTAGGCTCATGCATAGGGGATATTGCCCTTGGCTATAGTCAAAATCTGCACAGAGTTTTTACGTATTCGGGACGATGTATTGCCTGCCAGTTAGACCAAGCCAAGAACCCGGAATGAGCTACTTTAACATCACTTGTTTTCAGTTTGGTTAAAAAATTTAATATCATTAAAAAGCTGAAAGTAAGTGCTGATCTTTTAAATCAATTATGATAAAACCGTTTATCTTTAATGAAAGTTATTTTAACTTTAATACAGCAAATGAGGTTGTTATGGTGGTTTTATTTAATGTTGATATTCTGGTTGAGGTGATTAACTATTTCAGTAAGACTTTACTATTGAACGTGCAGTGAACCTGCTGCTCCTGGAACTCATGCATTAGCTCTTTTTTGCACAATAAACTGCCTTTTGTTTTCTGAGTAATTTAGGATAGAAAATGTACCATGTAATTGAGCGAGTCATCTTGAAAATACGCATACTTTTGTTACAACACCAAAACTTGCATGAATTGAATCTAAATATGGCAACTCACATTCATTTTTTCAATTCTTCAACAGTCTTTAGATTTTCCAACTTGGTCAAACAGAATGTTAGGAAAGTAGTTCCTAGAAGCTCTTAGCATAGTCAAATTACCGCACAATTGGACTAAAAATGTTTATGACTTCATGAGTGCTCAGCCAGACAGCTCAAAATTCTTTGTTCTGTTTTCCAATGTCAGGAGTGCAATAGTGACCTAGAGATTTATTCTCTCTTTTTTTTCTAAAGTACATTTTTTGTAATTTGTTTTTGTTGCTAAATACAGATTTTCTATCTTTCTAAAATTCATGTGTTTCCCTTTTCTTTTCTAGGTACAAACAAGGAGTGCTGATGAACCTATGACTACTTTTGTTTTGTGTAATGAGTGCGGTAATAGATGGAAGTTCTGTTAATTTTTCTCCTAGGGTATTATGCGTCATTCATTGTTGTAAGTATCCTGTTTCATTCATTCAGTAACGAATCATTAAGGTTTCCTACCATTCGGAATTCAGAAAATTCTCAATATTTCCAAAGAGATATTTCCGAAGCCAAGGATTCTAGAGCACTTGTTTTCCAAAGTTTTTTGTGTAGAGAATTTCCTTTTATCTTCTACGTTCCCAGTATGAAGTTCAGGTTTTCCCCTCTCCGTTTTGTATTTGGCACATGTGTCATGTTGAGGAAGTGACAGTTAAATATTTTTGAAACAGTATGTGACGTATTCAAGTAATTTTTTGTGATAATCCATCGGCTGTAAGCATCTGACTCACTCTAAAGATATGACACCTGTCAGCTGTTTGAGATTGATTTCTCATAGTACGTCAAATGTTTTTCCCCTGCCTCAATTGGAACATCAAGATCGAACGAAATGCAAATCATAACTTTGATCTGACAGTTCGCATGATAAGAGATTTAGTTTTCATTGTAAAAAGTAAGGCTTTATGTGTTTCATTTCTTCACTATAATTCATTGGTATGATTTATTTTCTTTCTGTTTCTCTCTTTGTCATTATAAACCTACGGTTTTTCCAAATCCAATTTTAACAAGTGTTTCTTCTGTAATAACTTACTTTTAACTTCATTCATTTGCTCTGTGTAAGGTCACCTAGAACATAATTGAATACCTGTGTAACAAAATCTGTATGCCCCTCAAATATTTAAGCATTGAATTGTAATATTTAAAAGTTAATGAATTTGAAAGTCAAATAACTTGAAATGTGTAATCTGAAGACTGAAACTTTATTCAACCCCCTGTTTTGTTGCCAAGTCAAAAAATTATTTTCCCCTCATCTCTTGATGGGTCTTATCTGCTTTTTATGAATCAATTATTATGATAAAGTATATTTCTTCGGTAAAGTAAGTTCAGTCACAGTTCTCATTGTGCAGAAATAAATGACCAGGTTTTATTTTAATCTGGATAGCTAAATTAAGTGCGCACGTTTTGATTGGGTCCACTGCTTTGGAATCCTAACAGAATTGACTGTGATATTAAGATTTCATGCCATTCTCCTAAGTGTCTAATTTCCCTCACTGTGGTTGTTGTCTGTTGGGAAATTTCATAAATGAGATCCTTGCTCCGGAAGGATTCGTCCAATCACTATTCGTCCTGCCAAGTGATGTGACTCAGTCTCAGAATTTAAAGCACAGTATGAAACTCTAATGAATAGGATGCTTTGCAATTTCTTACTCGTTGTTTGTTTGCTTTATGCAAGTTAAAACTCTTTTGTAGAACTCTCATTTGAGAAATGTTAGACTTGGAGGAAATTTTAATATGTTATGTTCTTTTAAAATGTCATTCGGCGTCAATTTATTGTCTCAAAAGAAGTATCTGCTTCATATTAACCCTTTGTGGTCACAATTAATTGTTTGCCCAATAGCAAAAATATGCTTACAATCATGCCAACATAACTATGTAGTATTCCTTCTTTAGTGACCTTCAGGGCCGTAGTACTTGTCAAGCGGGATGACTCAGGCCTGGTATATGACTCCAAAGCTTGCTAAACTTCATGTTAGGACAGGCCCAACTTCCGACCAGAACATGGCAAAAATTTTAAGGGGTCAAGCCCAACAATTGGCCTCAAAGGATTAATTTTGACAGTACCTCTGTACCTTTCAGCTAAGTTTGTATCTATCATTCTCTCTCTCTCTCTTCCTTTTCCATTCTAAATGAGCACCAGTTGCGTTCCTTGTCAAATGCACAAAAATGTTTCTCTCAGGAACTTTTCCTCATTTTCCCTCACCAATAACTTCATCCAGGCATCCTTTCTTTAATTAATTATTTTTTTGTTTAATTACATTGACTGAAGATCAAAAAGGCGAAGACTTTTTGATGATTTATTTTTTTCTTTCTGACCAATGGTTATGAATTTTTTTTCTATAATGTGTATAATTACCATTTTAAGTTGTTGTTACTGACACAATAAGAGTAGGTATTGCAAGTAGGACCTCTGAATTTTTTAAATTAATGTATCTCTAAAATTTAAAATAGGCATTGAAAGTAGTGCGAAGTCACAAAAGTTCATGTAGTTACACTGGTTAACTCAAAGAACTATTTAACTGCAACATATCCTAAGTAAAAGAATCTTCATTTGGCTGCTTGCTTCCATGCTGTCATTTAATTGTAACAATTTATTCCACCTATAAGGGAAACAAAATTATCTAATAATTGTGGTCTCATCTTTCAGATCTTTCTCACATGTCATCAAATGATTGTTCTCATATCTTTTTTCTTCATTTTGTTTCATCGAAATCATTGGTCTCTACTAAAATCAGTCTCTTTAAATCTAAGTGAATTTTGTTTTGATCAATTGTGAAGAGTTTCAATTACCAATTAGTTCATTGATTCTATGTTTTAGAAAATACATGGCATCTCTTTATTTCACAGTAATCTGTGATTCATTGTATAGGTATTTTTAATCATTTAGTTACTATTGTAAAATTTAGTAATTTTAGGAAACAAATGAAAGATTTTTTTAAATTGGATCGAAAGTGTAAAATAAAAGTTTCACAATAAAAGAGTCCATTTGTGTAAATAATAATTACTTATGTTCTTGTTTTTCAAACCATTATTAGTGTATTTTCAAAGGTAACACGCACACCATTTGTGTTTCATCTTTAACTGTATAAAAAAAGGGTTCCCACCTAATCAAGGTCAATTCAAGCTGGCTAAAGCTTCATTTATGAAAGCTACTGTTGTATGCTATTTACCTAGAATTTGCTTCAGGATTCATAAGTAAAAATATTAAGCAACAGGGCTGCTGCTTTTTGTGGGGCAGAAGAATATCCTTCTGGATATACGGGATATACTGACCGCATCTGGGAGAGAAGGAATCTGAGTTCTTAGAATCAAATAATTTAGGATAGTATTTCTTCCAGAGGAGGTTCCAAAAATTGGCGCATATTTTCAAAAAGAATCAATCTTCCAATCGCCAAAAGCACAAATATTGATGAAATTTTTCCAAGTGCCATAATTTTAACTTCCAGTTCCAGTTTGACTTTTAGTTCCAAATTTTGACTTGAAACAGACCAAGATCCCTGCTCTGCCAAAACGCGGTCACAACACGGAAAATAATTGTGAATATCATCTGTGCTCTTTAGGAACATAACAGTAAAAACTTTAATTTAACATTAGGAATTAATATCAATGCCAATTGATGACACATTCATGCTCGCTCGAAGATGATGTCACCCAATATAATGCTCTGAATTTTCTTACATCCTAAATATATTCAGCAAGTGTTCATTTTTCACAGAGCAGGAACATATAATCAATTGGAAAGAAAGTAAATAAATTAAGGAGACATGCTTATTTTCCAAAAGGAGTTCTCTCAAAAAGAGATCTTTCTTCAACGAGACTCTGTGGCTAAAGCCCGCAGAGTCAATCTGCATAGCAGATAGCTTTTTTGCTTGCTTTAGGCTTTTCCTGGTGTCACTGTCACATTGGCCATGGGTGTCTTAACCCAATATGTTTTATAATCCTTCACAACTGTCGCCCTGAAACAAAGGAAAAAGTATCGTGTAATATCCAACAATTTTAAATTTTCTCTGAGATGACAATAAACAGTAATAAATCTATGTAACATTATTTAGTGCACTTCGATTCACATCATTCCTGTAAATATTTGATGATCATATATTTTTTTCCATCAATATTTTATGGAAGCCATGAAATGTTTCAATTGGCCAAAAAATTGTGTCATACTAAATTTTCAGTTTTCTCTGACACTTAAGGGACCCCTGCCCTGAGCCTTTCTATTTTGTGTGTCAAATAGGGTAAATAGGATCGATCAATCATGTATTTAATGAGGTATCTACGTGAGAGGAGTTCTAAAATTTGTTGAACATCAGAAGCTAATCCTAGCACTACAATTAAGAAGGAAAGGCGATGTGAAAACTATGGGAATTGTCTAAATTAATTTTTTTTTGTTTAGTTTTCATTTCACTGTGCAGATCAAAACTCCTAAAAAAACTTTAAAAATTTTACCCTCGAAACCACTAAGTTGAGCGAATCAGGATTCAACAGGGGAAACAAACCAACTTACACAAAGTTAACGACCATTGGTGTTGTAACATCAGTGGGTGCTGTCCAGAACATACTCACTCCAGTTCTATTTGCTACACTCGAGTGAGTTGCTGCATTCTGTGAACAATTTTCAAATGGTGAATTTAAGAACACTTTTAAATTTACAGCCAATCATGCATTATCTATTCATTTTTGACAAATATTATTTACAACTAATTTGCTCCTTGTGCCGAGTCTAAGATATCTAAAGCACCACGTGTTGAAACATTATTAAGTAGGTGCCTGCTGGAGTGCGTAAAATTGAACTTCGCACATGCGAGTGCGTGGGATAGCTAGAACATTTGTCGTGCTGATTCGCGTCTGCCACTTGGCAACAGTGCTTGGATGATTCTGGAAGTCAGTTGATCCGATCAATTTTCCCGCGCCTTCTCCGGCATAAGTCGATCATTGGTTTCAATGCAGAAGCATGTCCTAGGTAACATATCGATGCCTAAAGTACGGAACCACGCATCTCCATTGAGGTGTCCCAAAATATCCGCTCCTAGTTGATTTTTTCGAAGAGAAGCAAGGTAACAGCTTACAGCTTGAATTAATTTATACTTACAGCATTTTATGCTAACAGAGCGAGGAGAAAAATCAGGGAATGTTTCAAGAAATTATGTTTCCTAGTTTTCCCAAGCAAAAATAAAGTATGACAGGAAGTTTGCAACGTCGCAAACGGAGTTACGTGGTCTCGCACTTCGGTCATCGATATTTGACATCGACTAATCGACGTGTGCTCTTTGCCTGGACAAAGCGAACAACTATCCATGCTCTCAAGCCGCACAAATTGCCACCACGGTTATTGAAGGCGAACTCTGAAACTTGGCAGAATGGGAGACACGCAGTGAGGCGAGTAATCAATCGCGTGTTCCTTGCCGAGACGGACGGAAGTGACACACTGCTGCGAGCAAATATTCTTAACAACCAGACTTTCCGGTATCAGGGGGGGCCAAGAAACTTCAGAGATCTATATGACCTCAACTTCGGGTCTCATGCTCTAAACTTTTTCTCTCACTGCATGTGAAACGAACGTTCGGTGTCCCACATCACCCCAACTATTCGGTTTGTGTGATCGAACGTCCGGTTTACCTATGGTCAGGGCCGGATTAAGGGAGTGGTCACATGGGCCGCGGCCCATTGCGGCAAATTTTGCACTTTTTTTAAATGTAGGTATAAAAAATCGCGGATTCAGAAAAAAAATTATCAACGAGAAAAGGGGACAAAATCTCTCTTTCCTGAGAGCATAGTAATTTCTAATTTTGTCGTTTTTCGGTGATACTAGAGACAGCATCTTCAGTTAGTCGAGTTAAGAGAGGAACTAAACATGCAATTTGGCCCGGAGCTCAGCGCAGAGAGGAATGATAATGAGGACTTGAAATGAAAAGGACAAGCCCTCGCCGCGGCGGTCGGCATGTAACACATATTAGCGCCTACAAGACCGCATGAATACTTCACCCATTACGCCAAACACAGTGCGGTCAGGAGCGGTTGGCGTGAAATGCATAGAGCCTACTAGACTGCAGGAATACTTCACGCATTGCGCCAAAGGAAGTGCGATCAGCGCGGCGCGGCGGAAGTCAAAATTATTGAACCACATTTATGTTTGTTCTTTCATAATGTTTCGGTTCATCTCTTATAAATGAAGGACCTTGTCTACACAGAAATAGGTTCACGGAACTTAACTTTCGCGCCAAGTTCCGTGAAATTTTGCCAGTATAGTGTTGACAGAGGTTCCGCAAAAAACGTATCCAACACGAGTAGGTAAACGCACCTTACGCACCCCTCCCCCTCCGGCACGTGCACTTGATGGTTTTTATTGATGTTTCAAAACGAATGAGAAGGGGGCGGGAAAATACAGGCGGCCCATGGGCGGCAAGTAGGTGAATCCGGCCCTGCCTATGATCGAACTTCGATATAAAACATGTATTTATGAAAAAAGTCATGCATATTTTTCCTTGAAAATTTCAGATATTTTAGATAAATTGTGAACAAAATTCATTGAAAAATTTGAGGAAAAATACGCAACATTTTTCCAGTAAATTTGGTTTTTCCTGAAGGAAATATGCCAACGTCTGAAGGCTCATACGGCGTCCCTCCCTAGCACTGCAGTAGGTCACCCTATTAGGCGACTCCTCGACCTAACCACCTCCTGCGCAGTGCGTAGATCTGGTAACGTCGGGCAAAACTGGACCCGGCCGAGGACATAAGCGCCGCTGATTCCCAAGGCCAACGAGAGCGGAGCCGATGAGCCCGATGACAGCTCCCAGGCTGCGCAGCGTTGCGAAATGATTAATTTTAATCGTTGGACAGACACCCGGTCCGTCGCAAAAACGCGATGAGCCAGCGCCGCACAGTGTCGAGTCAATAGGAGCGATCGGACAAAATTTGGCTTACAACTCCGTTTATACAAAACTCTCAGGTTCTAGAAGTGGCTTCGTTGGTTTGCAATGGGGATGTTGCATGTGTGAGTAATTTGCGATTTGACAAGTGATTCTTATGTAAAAGTTCACGAAAAATACGATAGTGTCACTGGTTTTCTCTGAAATCAACTCCCTAGCTCAAAAAAAGCTCTCAAGTTGAGGCCAAAATGGAGGGGATATCCCACCCTACCCCACCTCTACATCAATACAAACTCTCCATGCAAAGATAGGGACAAAATACATTGGCAGGGCTGCCGTAATTTCAGTTTAAGAGTCCCCAAATATGGTGGCAGCCCTTAGCTGTCAATGTATTTGCTCCCTATCTTTGCATGGAGAGTTTGTCTTGATGTAGTGGTGGACTCTCAGGATAGCGTGGGATATCCCCTCCATTTTGGCCTCAACTTAAGAGCTTTTTTTGAGCTTGGGAGTTGATCTCAGAGAAAACCAGTGGCACCATCGTGTTTCTCGCGAACTTCTACATAAGAATCAATGGTCAAATCGCAAATCCCTCACACATGCAACATCTCCATTCATAATGTGACGAAATAAACATGTAAATTTGCAGTTTTAGTCAAAAATTCCACGTCCGACCTCTCTAATTGACTCGATCCACTGTGCGGCGAGGCGCGGGTGGAGCCGCCGAGCGCCGCCGGTTCATTTTCATTTCCGTCCGAATGTACTGTTTAGCCACTTCGCCGCCGTTCAGGTGCTTACGCGTTAATTGCGAAAATACGACGACGGTTTGTTGGTTGCGGATCGCACTTGGGTTTTCCGGATTCTCCGGGGCTGTCAACCGTTAAGAGACCGTCTTGCCCTTCGTGATCCGTCTCGCGGATTTGTCGATCGTGAATGATCGATCATCGATTTTCCTCCCATTTGAAGGTATGGTAAAGAATCGATTATTAAGATGTTTGCTGGGAACACCCAGTTTATTGATCCTTTTCTGTAGGTTTAAATGGCAGATCAATCGATGTATCGCAAAGCAAGCTACGCTACTTGCGTCGAATCCGCTAGAGGGATAATAGCTCCTCATGTCTTCTGCTTGTTGATCGCTGATTGTGAGTTCCGCTCGATTTCGACTACAAATAAACATCAAATAGCGGAAGTGAAATTCTAAGCAAAACAAAAACCTCACAGCTCAAATGAAATCTAATGCTGACTCAACATAGGACAACGTAGGTATGTAGAAGCTATTCTGAGAAAAAACTGAGCAGAACCACCAGCCTGGAAGTCTCCTTGGTAAAGGCTAGAGTGCCTTGGTGGAGAGAGTATTGTCATATGGCTATGAGTTTAAATTGGCTCTTCCATTTTGAGCTGCATGGAGCTCTTGGGACCCAAAAATGGCGGAAACTGTAAGTATAATGTATAAAAAATGACTTAAAATGTAGTTTGATTTGCATATGGCACCGGGAACTATATTCAATGGCATTGTTACGACAAGTTTGCAAAGTTTTTGCAAACTTTGCAACTACGCATTGTTGCAAAGTTTTGCGGCTAATCGTAAGCTATTTTCGAGAAAAATCATCTTGGATTTAGTAAGGTTGACAGCAAGTGCGGCTGGTGGTACGTCAAAAAGGGGGAATGACCCCTCACCCCCCTCCCATTATAAAAAACCAAAACGAAGTTCCGCCTTTTTTTGGGCCTAAGGCGCTCCATGAAAAGTGAAGGGGCGAGAAGTCCATCCTCTCTCTATCGAGGTTCTCAGTACCTGAAGTTGATCAGAATAATATCATAATGTGAATCGGCCGATCATTTTACATGATATCAGCACGGTATCAGTATAATATCATTGCGCGCACACATCACATCATATCACAACTTATCCTTCTTCACATATCTTCCCGCAATATCTCGGCCGACGCGACGCGAAGTGGATGCAACGCCTGCGCATGCAACTATTCGTGCTCGGTGGATGTCTGCGTTGCATACGGAGAGAATGGAAGGCGCTCTCTTGTTGGGTATCCAAATTTTTACCCTGCACAGTAGCCTTTCCCACCCCTCGGGTTGGAAAAAATGAGACGGCAAGCGGAGGAGCATCCTGTTCTGTTCTTGCAAATTTAATGTCTTTTCATGCTGCTATAATAAAGCTCAAGTCTCTTAGATGAAGGTTTTGATTCCAGTGAACTTGTCAGCATAATACTAGTTCTTGCTCTACAAACAGTATCCATTTACACTATTCAAACACAGTATTTTATTTAAATGCGCGTTAAGCATTCTCGCTTTAAGGTGATTCGATGGACGCCATATTTTGTGTCAGAACGGGATGCGATATATCGTATCAATTGGTTCACTTTTTCCAGCTACCCGTAATGTTTCTCCAATTTTGAGATCGCAATTTTGTTGTCAGGAGACTAAAGCACTCACTTACCAATTTTAACAAAGGATTTCAACGTAATAAAGCGTGGTTTTTTCAGAGAGAAAACATAGCATTCGATACTGATATCGAAACTGCACTCGAATGCGATATTTTCTCTCTAAAAAAACCACGCCTTTATTACGTTAAATTTCTTTGTTAAAATGTGGAATTGAGTGCTTTAGTCTCCTGACAACAGAATTGCGATCTCAAAATTGGAGAAAAATGACGAGTAGCTGAAAAAATGGAACCAATTGATGCGATATATCGCATGCCGTTCTGACACAAAATATGGCGTCCATCGAATCACCTTAAACATTCTCGCTTTAATTCGTGGATAGTTGCTCTTGCAAAGTAAGCGAAGAATAAAAAAGATAAAAAGATAAAAAGGCGCTCACCTGCTTGCCTCCTGCACAATCCAGGAGCTTCAAGCTGAGAGAGGACGTGAATTTGCCGACCGGAATATTGTTGTGGCGCCCCTGGATGAGGAACCCTCTCAGTACCTCCTTCTCGTCATTGAGTCCACGGATTCGGAGGGAGATTTTCTCCCCCGGTGTGATTTTGTTCTTGGTGACGGTGACGGTGTAAGGGTTGGGGCTGGTTTGCGGTTTCGAGTCCTTGTGACCCGGGGTCATGCTCTCGCACTGACTGGCCGGGGCACCGGTCTTGTATCCGAACGACACGGCCACCAGGGCGCATAACCACAGCAGCAATACACACTTCATTTTTTGCAGTAATAACTGAAACAAATATTTGTAGTAGGAATAATGTATGTTGATTTTAAAGTGGTGTGTCTTATAGCAACTGTGGCCAAATATGGTTTTCATGAATTTATTCCCGTGAATTTTCACGAAATTCCATGAAATTTTTTAAACTTTCGGGGATGCATTCAGGAGGCCAAGAAGCGTCCAGCAACAGTGGGTCTATATTTTGACGCACTTGGCGGTACGCGGTTTCGCACAATGACCATTGATATGTGTCAATTACCTAATTGTGTCACCCACCCACGCATGGCGACAAGATTTCAATTTACTTTTTTACCCATGCATCTTTGAATCATATGATTTTTTTTATTATTGACTCGATCAAATAGAGTNGGGGGGGGGGGGAGAGATAGAGAGATGAGGTGGTTGGAGACCTTGGGCTCCCTGAAAAATTTACATTTTGGTTCTGGAAAGATGCTGTGCCCTGGTAAAAATTGGCAGTAGAATGTGTGCTCCAAAATACTATAGACCTAAAGCCGGCTGTAAGATTTCCAATTATAGCTTCTATAGCCGGCGACACAATTTCTTATAGCCTTTTATAGCCGATGGCGCTTAAGCAACAGCCTGGCGATAAACTGTATGCTAAACGTTACTAATTTTGGATTCTAGAACTTAGTGAGTTTTTGGACTACCGCTCTCTTTTTGGGTCATATAGTATCTTGATTTAATTTGCGAGGAATAAGCTCCGTACTTTTGAAGGATGCCTGCCATTCCTAATATGTTGGAGTGCCTTCAATGTCTTATGATACTGTGCAATACCTCTGGTGCGAAATAGTTGCTTCAAGCGCCGCGGTACGCTGGCGCGGCGCGGCGGGCGGGCAGCCAGCGCTGAACGTGCATGGGCGCCTACAAACCTAGCAGGGATACATCACGCATTGCGCAATGCGTGAAGTATCCCTGTTGGGTTTGTAGGCGCTAGTGCGTCGCCGTGCAATGCGTGAAGTATCCCTGTTAGGTTTGTAGGCGCCAATGCGTCGCCGCTCCGCTCTGTGTTAGGCTCTAATATTTAATCTCGCGGAGTCAGCGTTTTTCAACTCATGATTTTGAAATGTTTGCACACTCTGTATGGACCATCTCATTTTAATTAATGAAAAAACAATATGTTTTAAAGGAAAATATAATGTGTGTTTTGTAAATATTAAGGTAGTTCCGTATCAAACTTAATGATTTCCAAAGCATACGAATCTCTACACAATGTCTTATAGCCTTTTATAGCCAATGGCGATAAAGTGTAAAGCCCGGCGATAGGAACTATAGCCCGACTGTATACTTTTTTATAGCTTCGTATAGCCCGGCCATATGATTTGCTCCGCTTTCTACAGCCAGCTATATGATTTTCAATAGCCTTCTTTGGTCGGGTATAAGAACTCCTATGATATTTTGAAACGCAGCTCGTATCGCCAATTTTTACCAGGGTGCTAATGGGCATACATCTAGACCGTATTATTTTGTGTTTTCTTTTGCTCAAATTTGAATCCCTCGAAGTACAAGTACATCGTTCTTTATTCTTAAACCAGAGTGTAAAGAAATGAGGATGAAAGAAACATATTCAACGAGTCTAAAACTTTGATAAATCACTTTACGTGAGCTCAGCGCGTGCTCTGTTGTTGATCCAGTCTTAAACAAAAGCAAGCAAAAATGCTTCCCGCAACGTGTGTCAAAAGAAGCTAATTTGAGGTGCACCAATGTTACAATGCCTTGTTTCTTCAAAAAGAAACTTCGTCAGTTTTGGGACGAACTAATTTGGACAAAGGACATACCAGACATAGATTATTTTTTATGTTTTAATACAATGTCAATTTTCTATTTTTGTGCGGGACATGGTTTAATCATCGAAATTGAGCGCAGAAAAAAATGTGCCTAAGTTCATCTCGATAGAAATCTAACTTCATCATCGTCAATAAAATCTTCATACTAAATCAACTTTTTTGTTTAAAGCTGCAGTATTACGTAAATTTCAAAAATAGTCAGATTTATTCAAAAAGTTACCAAAAAGGGTTTCCTACAACGAGTATATTCAGAGCTTTATTAAATGCCTAAAAAAAATTGTTTTTTAAAGGTCATTGCTGTCAGGATTGTAATGCTTTAATGTAGTAATTTCGTTGAAGCCACTTTAAAAATACGTACCGTCAAATATAATGGTCAATCAAAATCATACCAATAAACTGAGAACACTATTAACATTCAGCGCAGTAAATTAACTGGCTTTTCTTTCCTTTCTCCTCCCCCTTCTATCAATGTGTGTTAAAAAATATTAAATAAATAAATAAAAAAAAATTACCGTAAATTGCTGTGAAAATTTTTCCGCTTAATGTAATGTTACCTCAAATTTTTTTGTGCTGCGGAACGTGGCAATCCTGTCTGAAATTCATCACAGCCGCGGCTTGAAATAAAGTACTTCCAAGAACTGTGATTGGAGGTTAATTGCAAGGCACACTGTAGTACTTACTTTATTGGTAGAGCTGGGTAGAGCGCAAAACTTTGCCGGTACTAATTTTCGCAAGCGACTTGCTTTATCAACATCGAAACAACAAATAAAATTCAAACATCTTCAGTACCTAGGTCAAATCAATTGAAGCGCTTTGTTGCCCTGACCGACCTGTCCTGAATCAGCAAGTCAGTCGCTTTAATTCTACCAACCTACCCCCTCCCCTCTTCCCTGATATGCGCCGCTCACTCTCAGCGCATCCGTAAATCTCGGTCGAAGTGTGAGTAACCTCCAAGCTCGCTCATAAATGACGTTCTGTACCCCCCCCCATTTTATTTTATTTTATTTTATTTTATTTTATTTTATTTTTTTATTTTCTTTTTATGTATAAAAAGAAAGGTGATTTTTTTTAAAAAAGAAAAATGGAAAGAGATGGGAGTATGAAAAAAAAAACAGCGTGAGCCAATCTCAAAATAGGACGATCAAGATTTGTCGTAATGAACACCTGTTCATTACGTCAGAACCAGAACCAGAACCAGAAACAGAAACAGAAACATTTGGTCCAGAAACAGAATGTACAGTCGAAAACTGC